ATCCTCTACAAACGTAATTAGCATTAACGTTGCATGCTTGTGATGTCTGCTCGCGAAATCTCCAACTGAAGATTTGAAATTAGAAGTCTGCATTTGCAGGATACTACACTAATAAACTTTATAAAATAATGCAGTACATACAGTTGTGCAAATGTTTAAACACCCCTGGTAAAAATTTGGTTTTGTTGATTTTGTGTAAATTAGTAAAAACGTCCTCTACAGCCAACTTAGACGGCATTTTCCTGCAAATTTAAGCGCACAATTTGTATGTATTTGTAACTTTTTTCCACAGGTCGCATTATACGTTTTATTTTTTCACCATGTATGTTAGGTTCAGTAAATTAACAGTAATTGTGTATTAAAATGTGTTCTCTGTAGTGGATGTTCACTTATTTTCACTTAGAAACGAAACAGAACGTGTAATTTATCTAAACCTTTGCATACCATTCACTGCACAGTCTAATATAACATTATATAACGTTACCTGATAGAATTTTTAAACGTTAGTCAGCTCATAGTGAAGAAAAAATGCAAAAAAATCATAAAACCTAAAGACGAAATGTGCACAATGTATCACGGTCTGTTCAAAACTCTAAATTTCTGTGTGGTGAAACGAGCTAATTATGATTCAGCCCTCTAATGAGATGCTGAGGAGGCTTCTTGTCCTGAATTGCTCACTAATGCACCAACAGGCTTAAGCAGAACACATACTACTTTGATTAATAAACACTTACATGTTCTCCAGAGAGGTCTGTGGGCGCTGACTGCAGGCAGTTCCTCAGCAGTTCCTTCCAATTTTAAAGTGCCATGTCCAGCATCAGGTTGTCTGAGTCCTGCCTTAAGCCCTGTTCCAGCAGCCTGCCCTGCTGGAGGTGAACTGGAAGAGAAGCTGACCCCTGCGCTCCACTCCACCTTCGGTCCAGAGGGATCTGCCTGCTCCCCAAGGCCCACATAAGTAAGCACTAGGCCATAAAACTCTTTGGGGGTTTGGTCTATATCGCCATCGCTCAGCCCCTCATGGCTCTGTTGAAGTCCAGGCTGGGTGCTGGGAGGACAGGTCACTCTTATAGACTGGCCATGTACGCGTTTATCCCGAGCGACTTACATTTGATCATTTTACACAGGTAGGCGAAGGCAGTGTTAGGAGTCTTGCCCAAGGACTCTTATTGGTATAGTGTAGGGTGCTGACCCAGGCAGGGGATTGAACCCCAGTCTACAGCATAGAGGGCAGCGGTGTTACCCACTACACTATACCAACTCGCTATGGCCACTTGCTTATACAGCATTGTGGCTACAATAATACGGACTCAAGTGGCTTAAGTGGCTATTTTGACCAATACAGTACAGTAGGCCTGTCCTAACACTGTAAGTCAGGCAGCTGCTGTTGGTCAGGCTGGATTGAGGACAGTGGATCCTCTGAGAGAGGCCACTGATAGAAAGATGCAGAATGTCACGGATAGACACGACTGGAGTTCTGCAAACATGCCATGCAGAACTGGGCTAATGTGTACAGATCAACTGAGAACTGGACACTGCAAGAGAAAAAAAGTAGCAATGATAAAACTAAAAATTTAAAAGGAATAAAAATCATTATAATCAATGTTTTCAACAGTATAAACCCAGTTTATCCGCAGATAACTGCATAAAATGATTCTAATACGTTCTGTAGAAAACCAGGAAACCGTAAATAACAACGAAGAGATGTTAGATGTGTCCTGAATGGTGAACGGAGCTGCAGAACACTCTAAAACGAAGCTCTACAGCACACAAAGTAGGTTTTAATCAAATCAACATCCAGAATTAATCACATTTCAAAGGTGTAGCTTAAATCTGAAGGTGGATATCTTGACAAAAACTAATATAAATAGATCATTACAGTATGTTACTCATCACTGAACAAGTCTTGTTTATATAATACTTGAAATATTGAATTAAACATCTAAAAACGCCTGTTGGCAAAAGGTTTAATATATAAATCCATATTGTTTATGTTACAGGGTTATTATAAGTAACTAAAAACAGAAATTAGCAGTGAAAACTGCCTGTTAACTGTAATAAAAACGAAAGTGACAGTTTTCAAAAACAGGAAAGCTAAATTAAAACGATCAAGTCCACTGCAAAGCTAAAATTAAACAGAATTACAGAGAATAAAGAGTTTTTCTGTGCGTGGATGAGAGTTTATGGGTGGATCTCTTCTGTGTTTGGCTGTCTTTAAGGAGTCTCAGTCTACTGTTGAATTGTATTCTACCCTCATCAAATACCTACTAACAGAGTTCTTTATAATACTGTAAATTAAAGCTGTGGTTAGTATAGTGTAGTGGGTAACACCTCTGCCTTCTACACTGCAGACTGGGGTTCAATCCCTGCCTGGTTAAGCACCCTACACTATACCAATAAGAGTCCTTGGGCAAGACTCCTAACACTGCCTTCACCTACCTGAGTAAAATGATCAAACTGTAAGTTGCTCTGGATAAGAGCGTCTGCAAAATGCCATAAATGTAAAACTGAAACTCAAAATAAATCAAGGCTAAACTAAAACTACATTCAGAAAACAAAACAAAAAAAACTATTAATGCACCCTTAAAACTAACTAAACTTAAATCAAAATGAAAAACTAGATAAAAATAAAAACTAATAACCCTGCCCTGTTATTGTTGTATATAAAATTATAAACTTTTGAACAGTGGCCTTTATGTGTGTAAATAGTAAATGTATAAAAGCAAAACAAACGTCTGCATTTCAACAAGTTAATAAGCAAACAAACTCATTCAAACTGAAGCAACAGCAAGAGAAGTGATCAGTGTTGATCTAGAACGCATGGCTGCTGTATGTATACACGTCTTCTGTGATGTCTGTCTGCTAATATTATATAATTGTGTTCTATATGTATGTATGAGTGTGTTATTGTGTTTACTGAGTTTCCAGCAACTCAGTTTTCTCCAAACCGCCCCCCTTTTATGAAAGGCTATGTAGTAAACTGACCCAAGCTGAAATAATAAACGTCAACAATAGGTTCTTTCAGAGACCTAAGCAGAGACACATGCTCTGTTTAACAGAGGCTTAAAATGAATGACTGTAACTCGACAACAGTTCATTCACTAATCTGAAAAAATAGTAGAACCCAAAGTTTAGTGTACTTTATGCAAAGCATGGTTTATAAATTATGCCGCTTCTTGACCTTCTTTGAAACCAGAAACACTGGGATTCTAACACTGAAAACATCACCTAAAGTCATATGCAAAAGTAAAAAAAGACATTTTTGTTGATTTTCTGAGTGTAAATAAGTGAACACATCCTCCACAGAGAACACGCTTATGCACGTTTTAATGCACAATTACTGTTTATTTGCTGAATTTAACATATTTCAGAAAAAAATAAAACATAAAATGTTTGACTGTTCAAACATTATGGCACATTTTATATTTAGTTTTTTATTTTTCCCATTATGTTCAACTAAGCAGATCAGTAGAAATTGTGCACTAAAATAAGCAGAAAAAGTCTAAATTTAAGCGTGTTCTCTGTAGAGCTGGACGCTGGGAGGACAGGTCACTCTTACAGACCACTTGCTTACACAGCATTGCGGCCACATTAATAAGAATCATCAGGTCAGTTTAAGTGGCTATTTTGACCAATACAGTACAGTAGGCCTGTCCTAACACTGTAAGTCATGCAGCTGCTGTTGGTCAGGCTGGATTGAGAACAGTGGATCCTCTGAGAGAGGCCACTGATAGACGTAGGGGTGTCAAACTCAACAACTAAAATGGCAATATTCAAAAATCTCAACAAATCTGTGGGCCAGCTGTGCTTTTATTTCATTTTTACTTAACATTTTGCTAAGACCTCAACTGGCCATTGTTTATTCAAAATAAGCCAAAATTGCAACAGCAAAATAGGCACAGAATAGTTAAACTATTCAAAAATAACTTTAAATAAAAAAACCAAACAATTATTTTATATATACACAATCGGCTGCATTATCTACTTTTACACCTCTTTAAATGTCCCCAGGAGGAAGGTGTTAAAACTGCCTATTTGCGTGAACACCATCTCTTCTTTTTGTTTAACTGCTGGCCCATATTGTTGTTTGGGGGAAGGGAGTCAGAGCACACATTACGTTGCAGTGCATGCTGGAGACTGTAGTGCAGCTCATGGTGAAACGAGCTAATATTAATAGAAACATTTAAATCATTTTGCGGGCCGAATGGGACTGTGCCACGGTTCTGACTCAGCCTTGTGTTTGACACATGAGCTGTAGAGGATGTGTTAACTTATTTCAACTTAGGAAATCAACAAAACGTAATTTAAACAAGGGTGTTCAAACTTTTGCATATGACGTATACTGTACAAAAGTCAAATACTTTTTTTTTTTTTAATATTATTTATGTAATTTCTAGTTAAAATAGCCAATAAGTGCTTCGTTTTTGGGATTTTTTTGGTATGCAACCAACTTCTAAGACTGAACTTTGGAGGTGTGTCTGCAGATTCTTTGAGGAACTGAAAGTGAGCCTCCTGAAAAGAATAGAAGCTGTAAAAAAGGTAGAGTGACACAGTGAATATTGAAAAAATTTGATATTATATTTAGTTGTTGAAGCTTCTGTCATTTTCTGTTCTGTTTTTTTTTCCGACCCTAAAAAATGAATAACTAGTACTTAATGGCTGTTTTGACTGGAAGTAAAACAGAAATTAAGGGAAGTCTCTGGGTTATGATACTGTAGATAAGCATAGCATGGTTTCATAAGTGGGTGACCCCATAGGTTACACTGTGTGAGAGCATGCAGTGGGGGAGGGAGGGAGGGAAGGACCGCCACTGATCCTGCTTTCATTCCAGCTGATTATGCTTTCCCTCATTCGCTCACATGCTACCCTTAATCCAGCGCACATCCGAGACCATCTGGCGCGCTTTAGTCGGGAAGTCCCTGCATTTTTTTTTTCTTTTTTTTCCCCCTGGCAGAACGAACACTGGAAGCACCAGAATGCTGACGTTGTCTTTTCCCCCCTCGTTTGTCCCGTAAAAACGTCTTATTTACTATTTAAGACTCATTAAAACGTTACAGCATACATCTGCATCCGACACAATACGTCCTTGTTTCGGATGCAGCGCAGACTCCATAAACATGCCGAACAGATGAAAACAGACGAGGCGGCTTTGCTTTTATATGCCGTCATAGCGTTCTGCAAGCAGATTTATTACAAAAAGGTTGTGAGTAAGCCACTGTCACTCAGGCAAAGAAAAAAAAAAAAAAAAAAAGAACCATACAGTACACAGACATGAATGCACTTATGAATATCTACTAATAGGAACCCTGGAAGGTTCCTGTCAAGGTTAAATGGCACACAAACAATGCTAGGAGTTGATGAAGTCGTTGGCGAACGCGGCAGGTGGGTATGACGGACTGTTCGAAAGGCCATGACCAAGGTTCTCTGTAGTGTTTAAGACGGGCAGTTGCTATGGTTACGGCTGAAGGTATTGTATTGCCCTTTAAAATGCGTTATCAGCAGCACATCATTGCACTTTAAATAGATGAATAAATAGTTGTGGTGCCCCGGCGTGAATACAGTGGCATACCAATTTGCTCACAAGCAGGTCAGCTTGAGGAGGTTACAGTACATTCAGCTTCTCTATCAGCTCAAACGGTGTGGAAAACTGTGTTAGTTTGCTTCACGACGTACAGTCTTTCTTTCCCACTGGTGCTAACCTCTCCGGGTGTAGCAGCGATAAAATAAAATAATAATCTGACACGACATTATTCACAAAAACATAAAAATACAGGACAAAATACACAAAACCATCACGTTCCACTCGCACTCCTTATTCTCCGCGGTTCTGCCACAGAATAATTTACATCTTGCTACACTCTTTTTTTTTGTTTTTAAATAACGGTAGTTTTGCAGTCTGTAGTGTCTACGGGTGTCCAGTCTCTGTCCAGTGTGTGCCAGCACAGTGCTGTGGGGGTCTACGCTGGTCCTCTCTGCTACCGAAGTCAGGCTACTGACTATCTTTTGGTGGTCTTGGCCAGTTTGCTGGTGGGCGTGCTCCTCCTCTGTGGGGTGGGGATTTTGGAAGGTTTGCCCCCGTGCTGGCGGGAGGCCGACCGGGGCGTGGGCCTCCCTGAGTCCGTCACCGTCTCTGACATGTCTGAGCAGACGGACTGGATGTCGGAGATGTCGAAGTCCGAGGCGTCGCTTCCTCTGCGGCTGCTCCCGCGGCTGCCCGCTTTGCTGCCCGGCCTGCTGGGAATCTTACTGTGGCCTGAGGGGAGAGGTGTTCGGTACAATTCAGTACAGATTATCTTTCATATGGGAATTTAAATTTTGAATCTTTTTATTTTCTTGAACATTGAAATATTCTACAAGAATAAGGAAAGGTCAGGAAATGGGTTTCACTTTGAATGAAAATGAAATATATCTTACTATTCTATTAATATCAATTATTTCTTTGTTAGTCTCATCGCTCTGTCCAGTTTAGTACGTTTCTTTATTTTCCGGATGAACGTGTCACTGACCAGCACATTTATGTTTACTCTCTGAAATAAATGCAGTGGAGAGCAGCTAGTTAGCAACCCAGAGCAGCAGAGAAAAGTATTTGAATGAACCGGATAATTAGAACCAACATTATCACTTAAAATTAGAGCTCTAAACCAGACTGACCTCTGACCGCTGCTGAGGTATCACAGGACAGGACCGCTCGACTGAAAAAGGCAACCGTAAATCTCTGCTTTTGCATGACGGCGGATTTTCTTACTCTCTTTAGATGAGTTGCTACTGGTGACTCACTACACTCTTTAAAAAGATGGTTCTTCAAGGGTTCTTTAGTAACAGAAAATGGTTCAAACGCCCAAAGAACCCACTGAAAGATTAAAGCGTTGTTTGCATTGTGAAATGGTTCTTCAGATTTATGGAGAATGTGTTGAATATGGTTCTATACAGAACCTTTTTGAAAATGTTTATATAGCGCCCAAAATGGGTTCCTGTATTATCACAAGCTTGACATCGTAACAACAGAAGAACCCTTTTGGGTGCTGTACAGAACTTATAAAAAGGTGCTATATAGAACCATCTACAGCACATTCTCCATCAGTCTGAAGAGCACCATGCGAAGAACCCTTTAATTATATAAAAGAACCATCTTTTTTTAAGAGTGTAGAGTTTAGCTTCATAAACAAAGCTGTTTCCTGTCAAATGCCTTTATAAAATGGGTAAAAGTCCCAGCAGTTTGAACGGCTTTTCAGTTTTCTAATATTTTCATTATTAAATTTGCCTAATTTTACTGATTATTCACTGCAGCTCTAGAAAACAGAGTCCATTTACATGCACTCAATAATCCCATCATAATCAGATTTCTGTAATTATCTGATTATTCAAATGGTCATGTAAACAGCACACTACGATCTAGAAATCTGATTAAAAAATCCGATAAAGAGAGCTGGATTTTAGCTCAGTAATCAGATTTCTCAGTGCATGTAAACTCTTACTCTGATTTCTTTCGGTTTTCTCAGTCTGTGCATGTGTGAAAACAGACCGGAGATAAGTGAGCTACGCTGAAACCAAGTACATTCTTGACGAAATTAAGGATTCAAATATTTTTCATCTTCTAGATGATGCATGTTTTCAGGTAAAGTGGTGCGATGTTTTTTTTTAAAAAGCTGCAGCATGAAGTTTGATTTTACATTTACGTCACGTCTTCTTCTGTGAGTTTATTGGCTCGTTGCAAAGCAGAAATCTGATTACTGTCTGACTCATGTAGACCTGGAGTTTCCCCATTATCTGATTACTCAGGTACATGTTAATGTGTTGATTGTTTACTGACAAAATCTGATTTTCTGCAGTTATCGGATTATTAAGTGCATGTAAACACACTCAGTGTTTGCCAGTTCTATTACGTCAGCTAACAGACGCTCTTGTTGGCTGAGTGATGGGGGAGAGAAAAACCTTTTTCACCAAACTGTCACTATGAAGCACTTTCTTGTGAAGAACAGAGGACGATAACTCACCAATGGCCTGACCTTTGGCCTTCAGAACAGCAGCATTGATCAGGGTGCCCTCCTCTCCAGACTGGAAGCCTTTCCCTGACAAATAGCCAGGCAGACGGAGCTTACTGCCTTGGATGGGTGTACTCTGTCAAAAGCAGAAGAATTATTAGAGACAAACCAGAACTGATCACAAGGAAGGATGTTAACCCTCTATTGCCTGAATTATTACTTAAACATGATAAAAATGTTTTAATGTGTTTTTGTTTTTTAAAATTGCTTAAATAAAGGCGATTTTTTATTTATTTATTTTTTTTTAAGTGGGGTATTTGGTAAATTGTTGCCATATGGCAACAATGCACAATTGTACCATAGCACCATAAAATCTAAAAAAAAATGTTTCTTTAAAAACATCATTTTATTGAAAACAAGACCAAACAAATCCAACTTATACTTAGTGAAATGTACGACCCAATATTTACAAATATTGTAAATTAATACAATTTCAATTGGTATTTGGAATATATGGTAATAACAACATCATTATAAGAATCCCTGCTCATGTGACATCGTAAAGTATTTGTCCTTTCAAAGTAAAAGACCCTTTTTCCATAATTAAATAGGAAAACACAAATTTAACATTATTGCTTTTTAGTAAAATTGAGATGAAGTACTTGTTGCCATATGGCAACACTGTGTAATAGAGGGTTAAAAGGTCTCTCACTGAGGCAGTTAGGTGGATTTAAAGGGTAGCTGTGTGGACTGTAACACACTGCTGATGATGTGAGGTCGATCTGAAAAGATAAATATACCCTGCAGACACCAGTTGGTTAGTCACGTTACAGCTGGAGCGCCAATTCTCAGACCACCTCAGTGTATGTGCTTCAAATGAGACAGATTTAATATTCTAATTACTGGAGCTCTGAACTAAATAGCATGTAATGTGACAGAAATGTGATTATAAAGCAATAACTGAACCATCACATGGCCACAGGGTATTAAAACTGAAGAGCAGAGTTGTGCCTTAAAGGACAGGCATGTCATTAGATGGTATGTGGGAATATTTGGAGATGGAGAAGACCTCAAATCTATTACACAGAAAACACAGTAATTTAGGAGAATAAACTCACGAACATGACAGAATGGACAGGCATGTCAAAGAGGTTACAGAACAAACCGTTTCATTTGCAGTTAGTAGTTTAAAGTAAGACTGAACGACCCGACTGAAAGCAGAACATGTTAATAGCGTGTCCCAAACCAGTTCTCCTTTTTAGACTACAGTAGATGTTAATAGGAAAAGGAATGTTTATAAGCAAAACAGTTGAATTACAGCTTCTGTTCGCTGTTAATCAGAACCCTGCACCGCAAAAATCTATCTTAGCAAGTGAAAACATCTTAAATGTAGTCAATAAATCTAAAATTTCTTATTATTATACTGTTCTAAGAATATTCTAAGATTATTTAACTCATTTGTAGACATTTTTCTCTTGTTTTAGGTCATTCTGTCTTATGAAAGTGTCTTATTTCATTGGGAGACCATTTATACGTGTTTTAAGCTTTATTTTCTAAAATAAAAATTATTTTCCAAAAGAAGGAACATAATCTGACACCTTTCACCATATAAAACTGCTTAAAAGAAGTAAAACTGTCTAAATATAAGTTGAATAATCTTACAACATCCTTTCAATGACCTCATAATGAGAAATATTAGATATATTGACTAGATTTAAGATGTTGTCACCTGCTGAGATATTATTTTTTGCAGTGTGCAACTGGCAACCCTCATGCATTACAGCAAGCCCAAGAGTGAGCCTGGACTGTTCCACGGTGTAGACAGCAGAAACTGACAGTGAGTTAGAGACGGTGGTTAGATCAGCGCTGAGACGTCAGATTGTGTCACTCCTCTTAATTCACTATACCTCGTTGGATGACCCTTGGCTTTCAAAGGAGTCAGAAGACTTTAGAGGAGTAGCTGACTTGCTGTTTGTCAGCCAGGGTTTATCATAATTGCGCGTTAAATGTGGAGTCTGTGAGGAACAATGGGGTGAAACATAAATACAAAAGGGGTTTAAATGGAAGGGGTTCACCATTTCATCTAAATTTTACTGAAGTTTAATTCATATCGTTGCGGTTGAGACGTACTCGTACAGGTATGTGCGCACCACATCTTTTGTTGATTTTCTAAGTGAAAATAAGGGTAACACTACTGTAGGGTACAGTTCATAAGGCTGCATGGCACCCACACAAGGTTGTCATGACAACTGACACAGACCTACATAAATGTTTATGAATGCTCATTCCAACAGGTGTCATCTGTCATAAAATCTACTTTAGCTAACATTGATCAAAATTGGCAAATGTAACCTTTACAGCAAATGATCCTTGTTGGAATAAGTAATTATAAACGTTTATGTAGGTCTATGTCAGTTGTAATGACAAGCTTTTGTAGGTGTCGTGTAGCCTTATGAACCGTACCCTATAGTAAAGTGTTACCAAAATAAGTTAACAAATACTTGTTAGAGAACACTTGTGCTCATTTGCATATATGGAAATGTGCAAACTAATGTGTATATGTGTCTAATGTAATTATGTTTCCACTTTGTATTTATTTGTTTATTTTTATGTACTGCCGGGGGGCTACACTCCTGTGTAAATGTGATGTAACAATAAACGTGATTTGATTTGATTAATGCACAATTGCTGTTTATTTGATGAATTTAACATACTGGCAAAAAAACATAAAATGTGGTCTGTGCCACATTTTCAAGTTATGCCACATTTTATGTTTTATGTTTTATGTTTTTTTTTAATACACTGAACTCAACAAAATAAATAGAAATTGTGCATTAAACGTTTGCAAAAATTGCCATATTTAAGTGTGCTCCCTGTAGAGGATGTGTAAACTTATTTACACTTAGAAAATCAGCAAAATGTAATCTGACCGAGGGGTGCTCAAACTTAAGTATACAAGGTTTTAACAGTGACATTATATCAATAATCAATATAAAAAATACGGAATAATCTGCCAACAATTTCAGTCTGTTAGACATGACGTGCAAATTTGAGCACGTCTGTAAAATTTTGCAAAAAATGTGGTGAACCCATCCTTTGCAGAAAGGACAAAAATGGACAACATGGAAACTCAACAAGTGATATGATATGAAAACAACTAACACTGGGCTACTAAATGGCTTTGCATGGGTAAACATAAACATACCAAAACAACCGTAAGAGCTTCTTCTACTTTCAGCTTGACTAGATCACAAGTGTCAAAGGTCCTCCTACCTTGGATGCACCAGGAGCAGCTGGGTTAGGCTGTGCAGGACAGCTGTGGCTGGAGTTTGACCTGTTCGGTGAGGCACCCCTCGACGACGGCCGTGACCTTCGGCCTCGGTAGCGAAAGCTGGCCATCACCTGAGTGGTGCCTTCTGGAAGGATGAACTTCTCCCGCAGCTCCACGTTGGTCCTGCCTTTAGCTGAGGAGAGTGCACATACAGTGATGAGTCGAGTGCTAACAGGAGTGCACAGACAGGGGTGGGGGGTAGTGGGGGGTTGTGACTGTATGGTGAAGGTGATTTGAGAGAATGAGGCCTGTTTTATAAACAGGTCACATGAAACCTACTGAAACCTGGAGTGGATTCTGTGAAATGAGTGCGACATGATACTTGTTGGTCAGTGATTCTGTATGAAATGAGCAGGTGGCATGCAGTTTCACATCACTGAGGCATAATGGCCACATTTTGCAAAACTCCTCAAAGAAAACACCGATTTCTCATAGCTGTATATTATAAAGCTGTGTTTATTGCAGAAATCTGGACTTTCTAAGTAGCCTGAGTGCCTCTGCTACACTAATGCTAATCCCTCTAGCTCTTCTATGGGATCTTCAAGCTCTGTTTATAACAAACTCTGCTTAAACATGGAGATTTGAAGCATTTGAAGCTTATACAAAACATACAAGTGGCATATTTACTTTGTATGTTGCTGTTTTACAATGAATCCTTTGGTAAAGCTGATCTCTGAATATTACTGGAGTAGTCTGTTAGCGTGTGAGCTGTCTGCTGAGCTGTTCAGCCTAGACCTACTTAAACCTTTATACATAACTTCATACACACTTTTACTTCATATACACACAATTAGTTACATCTAATACATAATTACACTGATCAGGCATAACATTATGACCACCTCCTTGTTTCTACGCTCACTGTCCATTTTATCAGCTCCACTTACTATATAGGTGCACTTTGTAGTTCTACAGTTACAGACTGTAGTCCATCTGTTTCTCTGATACTTTGTTAGCCCCCTTTTACCCTGTTCTTCAGTGGTCAGGACCCCCATGGACCCTCACAGAGCAGGTACTATTTGGGTGGTGGATCATTCTCAGCACTGCAGTAACACTGACGGGGTGGTGTGTTAGTGTGTGTTGCGCTGGTACGAGTGGATCAGACACAGCAGTGCTGCTAGAGTTTTTAAACACCTCAGTGTCACTGCTGGACTGAGAATAGTCCACCAACCAAAAATATCCAGCCAACAGCGTCCTGTGGGCACTGATGAAGGACCAGAGGATGACCAACACAAACTGTGCAGCAGCAGATGAGCTATCATCTCTGACTACAAAGTGCACCTATATAGTAAGTGGAGCTGATAAAATGGACAATGAGCGCAGAAACAAGGAGGTGGTCAGAATATTATGCCTGATCAGTGTCTACTTCATCTACATGCAATTTGCGACTACAAACATCCATGCATACATGAGATCCTGCTGGTGTGGGTTACCTCCCTTTCAATAAAGCGCACAAAAGTGACTGAGTGGTAATAGCTAATGACCTGCGGTTTATCATTCAAATGACTAATAACTAAGCTGGTTTATCAGAATGTAAATTCTAATCAATTAATTTTTTAACTGTCTAATCAAGACGGCCCTAAATTATATATGATAATAAAGCACTCCTGTACAGCAGTGGCCACCAACCCTGGTTCTGGAGATCTAGTTCTAACCACAGTCTGCCGTACCTGCCTCCCACTAATTAACCTGTTCAAACGTTCCTGATTGGCTGGATCAGGTGCAATAGGATTAAGTAAGGGGGGCTGCAGCATGTTATATGCAGGCTGGAACTAAACTTTACAGGAAAGTAAACCTCCGAGAGGGTTGGTGACCACTGTGATACAGGTTATTGAACAACATCTGCAAACACTTGTGACATACGGTTGTATGCAAAAGTCAGGGCACCCCTTGTGAAATTAATTAGATTAAAAAATGTAAAAATGACATGCAGTTTTGTACAGCTCGTCATTTGTATTACAGACTCTGAGACGTAAAATATTTTTTTTTTGTTCAAAACAAGTGCCTGAAACACCTATTTACAGTATGCAAAAGTTTGAGCACCCCTGGTTTTACTGGTTTCCTGTGACAAGAAGTTATCTACAGAACACATACTTAAGTATGACATTTTTCTGCAGATTATGATGCACAGTTTCTATTTATTTTTGCTGAGTTTAGTTAGCAAAATGACAAAAATATGTGTAAAATTTGATAACTTTTGCACAAACCACATTTTTTTATGTTTTTATCCCAATATTTGTAATTCAGCAAATAATCAGTAATTGTGCTTTAAAATTTTCACTTAGAAAATCAACACATGCAATTGGACCAGTGGTGCTAGTTATTATAGAGGTTATTAGGCATTCTGAATTAAACACTACAGAGTTCCAACTGTAATTAATCAAGACGGCCAAACCAAACTTTCCTAAAGATCTAACTAAAGTGAAAATGATTGTCAAATATGCTGCAATGCAAAGAGCTGAAAACAGAGACAGCAGAGCCTGAGCGGAAAAGCAGTTGAAACCGTGATGCAACAAACAGCTGCATGCAAGAGAAATCTCAGGGAGTAGCGTGAGGTTAATGTTAATGAGAATACCATCACTGCAGCGGGAGCGCACACACACACACACACACACACACACACACACACACACACAAACGCGCAGACACGCTCACGCAGGGATGCACACATACCACTGGGATGGAGCAAGGAGAGAAAGTGTGAGAGTTGCCAACCTATAGGAGACTGAGTAATTGACGAGTTTGATTCCGAGCGCAACATTTTACTCCCGTGGTGATGAACTAGAAGAAATGATAGTCGGGTTCATAACACGAAGAGAACAGCAGGTACATTCAGCAGGAGAACAGTGGAAGGAGAGACAGTAGAATACAGAGAGAAAAGCTTAGTAGGAACATGGCAGCAAGCTTCCAGAACATCGTACACAGCCAATCAGAAGGCAGAAGGCTCAGCCGTAATACAGTAGGGCAGGGCGGGGCACAACACGTTTTAGTTTTCGCTTAATAGTTTAAAAAGTATTTTAAGGTTGATCATTTATTTATACAAGAAACCTACACATCTCTGCTACACATGAACATGTAAACCTTGTTTCTGGCACCTGTTGTTGCGCAGGTGGGTCTGTTTGAACAGAGTAACCGTCGCTAAAACGTCTGGAAAAATGACGCAAACGCAATTAATTCAATACACTTCTGTGTAGTTTGAGATAAAATAAACCTGTAAAAATACACTCATCAAAATAAATGATTAGTGAAAAGAGGCTGTCAAATGTGGCAAAGTAGAATAGCCAATATCAGCAAGATAAAATTGAAATTTCCATATTTATACTACGTTTGATGAATCTGTGGGGGGTATGGAGTTTAACTGTAACTGTGTGTCTGCACTGCAAAAAAATGACATCTTGTCAAGTGAAACGATCTTAAATGTAGTCGATATATCTAATATTTCCTATTTTTAAAATTGGTTTGCACTTATTATGAGATTATCTAGCTTATTGCCATTGTCGTAAACTTATTTTAAGATTATTTACTTTATTTCTAGACATTTTTTACTTGTTTTAGCTAATTGTATCAAGTCAAATGAACTCACTATACTGACAGGTAATTTTGCTGGTTTCAAGCACATTTCTTACAACAAGCTTAATAAAATTTGCTTAATAAAATTACTTAAAACAAGTTTCTAGAAATAAAGTAAATAATCTTAAAATAAGCTTACATCAATCTCATCATGAAATATTTCAGATTTATTGACTATATTTAAGATGGGAAAATCTGCCTTTAGTTACAGAGCACCAGCGAGCTGGACCTCACAACAGGAAACACTAAAGCTCAGCTCGCTGGGTCACTCAGTCACTTAAACTTTTACTCTCTAACCACCTCCACTTGATTTTCACTACATTATCACTTTCATTTTCATTATTTTTATTTTTTATTTGTATTTTTTCCCATTTATTTATTTGTTTATTTATTATTATTCATATTCTTATTGTTGTTTTAATTACTATTATTTTATTATTATTTGTTATTTCAATTAATTTTAGTTTCCTTTTTTGATCTCATCCCCCTTTTGTTTTATCTTCCTTTGATTTTATTAACTTTTACATTTTAGTTACGCTTTATTTATTTATTAATTCTTTTTTTTTCTATTTTTATGTATTTTATTATTAATATTACATTTTTTATACTTACCTGATTTGAGTTGTTTTTATTATTAAATTTACTTTTATTATTTGATACTTTCTTACACATTATCAGTCCCTTTTTCCTGTATCAGCTCAGCTACATTGTAAATGAAGGTCACCCTCAATGTTCTCTGAGTTTAAATAAAGATTGATTGGTTGATTGATTGATAATTTTACTTGACAAGACACCAGTTTTTGCCGTGTGGCTAGTTCTCAGTGTGAGATATTTACATACCTCTAAATGGTGCTATGTGACGGCCACTAAGAGGGAGATTAAAATAATATTCGAGTGAATTCTGTGATTTGTACACAAAACTCAGAAATCAAACACAATTATGAGGAAAAGTCACTTTTAAAAGTCTTCAGGTGAGCCTGGAGAAACATCTGTCAAAATTCACAGATGTTGTTGCTGAGGGATACAAAAAGATGACCAAAATCTGAGACATCCATACCACTTTTTACCCCATGTGAGTTTGTGCCCCGCTCTCCTCGACATTTGAAAATCCTTTAGATGAATCTAAACACTAACACCTTATTTTATTTCTTAATATTCACTGTTTTTTCAACAAAATAATTAAGTGGTTCAAAATAAAAAACAAATATTATGCTTAGATTAAGAATATCAAAGTAAATTAAAGCTAAAAAAAACACAAATGCATAAAAAATACTAATTTAATACCACACACTGCAAAAAATAATATCTTAGCAGGTGAAAACATCTTAAATCTTGTGAATATATCTACTATTTCTCCTTATGAGACCATTGGATATTATTCATTATAGTTGGATATTATTCAACTTATATTTTGGCCTTTTTGTACTTCTTTGAAGTCGTTTTATCTGGTGAAAGTGTTTTATTCCATTGGCGGATTATTTTACTTATTTTAGGCAATAAAGCTTTAAACAAATAAAATGACCTGCCAATGAAATAAGACACTTTATAAGACAAAATGACCTAAAACAAGTGAAAAATGTCTACAAATGAGTTAAATAATCTTATAATACTCTCAGAACAGCCTCATAATGAGAAATATTAGACACACTGAGTATATTTAAGATGTTTTCACTTGCTAAGATAACATTATTTGCAGTGCACTTTAATAAAATGACATTTTGTCAATTGTTTTCCTTTCACTGTCAATTTGAAAGTGTGGCTTTAAGCAAACAAAATGATTACCTCTACACGGGTCATTCTTGACCAAGAACTCGTCCAGGGCCATCCAGCCTCCTCCCACTCGCACCATGACGGTACTGCGCAAGATTCGCACCAGCCTGAGCTGCTGGGAGTCTCCGAACTGGTCAAGGAGCAAAGAAGAGTGAGTCAGCGCTGAGTCACTGAAGCACAGCCACACTGAGAAAGCCCCACAGCAGAGTAACAGCGCAAACCAGACGCTGCAGTGACCTTTACTGACCACATCTAGAGCTTATAAAACAGTTTTTGGCATATACTAAGTATGAGGTGTGCTGACTCAGTGACCGTATGAATCAGATCATGTGGTCACTTTTGCTTCCATAAGCGCTTACTCGGCTCTACCTAAACGCCCTGTTTGCGCATGTTGCCCAGCTGAGTGGTCACTTGACAATTTTTTTTGATCAAGACACAACATCAGTTTCATTCCAGAGGACGTACAAATGAATGGTCAATCCAACTGGTGTAACCCATATTTTACGTGTATTATTTGGGATCAGTGATGCACTTTAGAGCAGTCCGATTTATAGTGTGCATGTGCGTAAATCAGAGCGTGGCAATCAGACCGGGAGGTGGGTGTGGTGGACAGTTTGGGTCCAGATTGGTTCAACACTATGCTGACACCACCAGAGGGTGCTGCAGCCCATGTTGGCAGAAGCATAACAGCAAATACAGACAGCAAAAACCTATTTTTGGCTTCGGAATAACAGTCTTAGTAGAGCTCTGATGCAGTCGTCCACAAGCTGAATGTCAAGGGGTAGACAGAAAAATATGGACTGGCCACTTGGAACTGGAATCTTGTGGCCAAAATGAAGGATTTGTATCAAAAAACACTCAAAGTGTTGCTTTGAAAAGGGAAGTATGTATTAAAATCTTTACATTAATAATAACACTGCCACTGTAGTGACTGTGGTGGTCCCCTCTACTGAGCTGGTCACTCCAGTCCAGGTTATTTCATTAGATACTGTTTATTTTATGGTTGCGCTTTCTTGTACAATCCCTTAAGTTCTAGCTATTAACCTGGTAAGAGTGTAGAACAAACTATGAAGTACTAGGTAATTATTTTATGTGACACAATGATAATTTGCATAACACTCTAACTCAGCGGTGGTGACCTGCGGTCCTGGATGGCCAGTGTCCAGCACAGTTTGGTGATTTTACTTGAATCAAGTGTGGTTGAGTAGGAAATCCATAAAACTGTGCAGGACTCGGGCTCTCTCCGCCCCTACACTTTTAAAAATGATGGTTCTTCAAGGGTTCTTTAGTAAGGAAAATGGTTCAATATAAAAACCATGAACACTCAAAGAACCATTTGCATGATTAAAGGGTTCTTTGCATTGTGAAATGGTTCTTCAGACTGATGGAGAATGTTTTATGTATGGTTCTATATAGAACATTTTTGAACAGGGTTCTATAAAGCACCAAAAATGGTTCTGCTATTCCTACAATGTCAAGCTTGTCACAGTAGAAAAAGACTTTGTGGTGCTACATAGAACCATATACAGCACATTCTTCATCAGTCTGAAGAATCATGCAAAGGGTTCTTCGAGTGTCTATGGTTCTATGTAGAACCATTTTCTTTACCTTTGAAGAACCATATTTTAAGTGTGTAGTCTAAATAAATTACACTAAAATGCCCAACAGGTTCTAGATATTAAGTGGGTAAGTATGTGGTAGAAACTTATTACCATTTATTTCAGAAAACTTTTGAAATTGATTCTGTGCCGTCATTTTAAACCATATAACTACTGCTTGACCTTACATAGAACTTTACCGCATGTTTGTCCTGAAAACCTTGTTACTACAAATAATTATGATGTATTTTATGTCCTTGATCAGTGTAATAGCTAGAACATGGAACAGCATCTCATCTATGACATCAGGTTGACCAGCTCGGCAGGAGGGATCACCATAGTCACAACCATGCCATGTTATCCATTGTGGTGGTTACAGTTTTAAAGGGAAATTCCAACAATTTTTTTTAAATTTCTGCCTAGTTTAATGGTTAAGATGTAAACAGAGTCATTCAGAGTGGTTTGGTGTGAAACGCTCCGTTCCAGAGAAAATATACCGAGTCAGAATTGTTCACAGTGGTGGTGATAGGAACCAAATGTCCACCTCTAAAAGCTTAGCGACGTTGACTCATTGAGAAGATTTGTTGGCTTAAAATGTATCTTTTTTATAATCAATTCATGGTTGAGAGTTGAATGCAAGGTAAAATAGTCCCTGAAGAAAACATTATTTGCAGATTTTCCACTATTTTCCATCATCAACATTCCACAGAAACTCAGAAGACTCCTGTAGGTTCACTGGTGGTTTTGGATAGTAAATAAAATGGCTATATTTGTGTTGTAGTCATGGCGACCCCTGGGTCCTATCACCACCACTGTAAAGAAATCTGAGTCTCTACCGTGAACCATTTTGTACCAAACCACTCTGAATGACTCTACATCTTGTTTACATCTCAGTGCTTGAATTTTGCAGATTTTTGTTAAATCTGTGTGATTCCCCTTTATTGAAATGTGCCAATATCTGATTTGTTTGATCAGTTCTGTGCAGACAAAATGTGGTGGACAAAATGTGAAACCTTGCGGCCAGACGCACTAAGAAACAGGCTGTCTACCCCTGTGAACCTTACTCGACAAACCAGCGAGGCTTTCGGTCAAAATGAAGTTTGCCAGTTGGATGTGGCCATGGTGTAGCTGATTTCACAACACAGACACACAAAAGTTATGGCCTCATGCTTTCTGTTTAAAAAAGAAATCAAATTAAGCGTAAAAACCAACACAAATCTTTCCACCAACCAACGATACATACAAAGGTTGCAGTCTCTAGAGCTACGAAACCACCATACTCATAGAGAGGATGTGTGTGTGTTGACACTGATGCAGAACCAATATGGCTAGACTCCAAATGACACATTAGGAACAATATGGAAAGATGGCTGGACTCCACTCTCTTAACACTGAACACGATCAACACAGTGATGACCCTCTGGCTGAGCCTCTCTCTGGCCTCCGCTCTGTCTATGTGATAACCAGAATGATTCAATGCCACTGGTGAATTTGGTGATTGGAGTGTGTCAGGGGAGAAGATGATTTGAGGATTGAAGCAAGAAATAGTAGAAAAGAAGTCACAACAAACGGCTTAAAGATGACCATTTACCAGGATACAGCTTTCCAAAACAGCAACGTGAAGTTGGGGGCTTAGATTTTGATTGTCCCTGTTTGTTATACTCTCATCGGCGATTAAGGGGTCATGTAAGCAGTGAACGAGACCAAACTGTCGAAAGAATTGTTTCAGTTGACGTGGAACAGCAAAAGAACGCAACAGACTGGTGCACATGACAACATAAAAAAGCTTGACAACAAGCAAAGGAAAAAGAAATGAGTTTTGCATGAACCCCCCCCACCACCCCCAATAAAACCCCACCAGCAATGTGATATCATGTATTTTCCCCCCAATTCATGACCTTGAGAAAGCATGTAGCCCATGATTTCATGTGATTTATGCTGTATTTACACAAAGAAACCAGCATTTTAAAACTTTATCCTTAACACAGGCCTGAGACTGAAAGGCAGGGAAAAAGGGAGAGAAATACAACTCAAGCAACAGCTATTATATCAGCCCGGGTTAAAGTCCTTTTCGAGCTGGGAGTTAAATCATTCCAAGGCAAGCACACACTTTGTGTTACGCTTCAAAGCTCCCAGAACACAAACACTGAAGGAGGAGGAAAAGGGCTGTTAGCAATGCACTGCAACTCAAAAGCAGATATGCAAGGCATGACCATATAAATTCATGAGTTGTCCAAACTTCCTAAAAAGGTCTAACATTCCTTCTCTTCCTACACAACTTGGGTGCCACTGAGGTGTAGAATGACCACTTTCTTCTGACCTGTGCTTAAAATAGCTTCTACCATTAATGTGATACTGATAATCAGCCTAAAAAAAAAAAAACAGAGTGATGCTCTCCATGCGAGAACCGTGATGAATATCTTTATTTATTTACTCCCTGGAGTGGTCAGCACCATTTTTGGCGTTGTTCTTCTGACTTAAACAGCTGAACTTTTAAACACAGAGGAGGAACCTTTAGGAAGCTTTCAGTAGGCATTCCCTCCTCTCTTTATCTCTCGCTCTCCTTCCTTCCCTCCACTTGCTTTCTCATGCTAGACGGACCAAATGAAATATCACAGATATGCGTGCCTGTGGAGTTCGCCACAGTCGGAGAAAAACAGGCTCGTCTCGAGCGAGAGCATTATTAAGATTAAGTATGCTTATCCGCTTCTGAGTTCAAGACCGACTTAACTTGAGATCTGGAAGAGTAGAAACATTGAAAGGAAACTGGTGAACCCCCCGAAAAAGACAACCACCACAGCACAACGTTAGGAAAGCACTGTGTGTATATACCTGATTTCCAAGGTAGAACTGAACAGCGGAAAAAAGAGAATGAGAACACAAACATTAGGAAACATTGTCTGTACAGTTTGCCTCAGGCTGGATTTACATGGTGACACTTCCATGCAACTAGTTACATATTGTGAGTCGCAACATATATTCTGTGCAACTTGACGTTTGCAGGAAGCAATTCAAAAACAAAGTTGCGTGCAACAGATTTGATTACTCCGCTAGTTAGCCCAATTAGCTCTATTTTTTTGATTGTTCTCAGTGATATAAAGTCTCTGCGACATGCTATCCGCAATTTCATATTTGCAGCATTTTTATCCTCTTTGTAAAATTAGGGGTGGACAAGGGAGGAGAAAACGAATAAACCACATAACGTCGCTGTCCAAAGAAAAACAAGTGTCTCCGAATGGTAACTTTACAGTAGATGCTAAAAACGGTCTTAACTTTTAATGTAAGTCAATGTAAAATAGGTTTTATTCCAAGTGATTTTGGAGCATTTCTATTGGTTCGATTATCATGAAATTTTCACACAGTGTAAAGGGCAGCTGCCGTGTTCAAATGATGTAGAAAAATAAAAATCGACAAAAATGGAGATACATGTTTTTCTTTGGACAGCGATGATAAATGACATTAACAGCAGGCTAAGAAGAATAAATGATGGTGCAAGGAGCCATTTAAACATCTGTTAGTGTTAGCTGGCAATTTAAACCAGCTGTTTATAAAAACGTTAGCTTCAGAAAAATGTAGATTTGTTTGATGTTCTGGCTCAGGAAACTTAAACAAATTTAAAACTATCAACCTTGCACATGGTCAGTCAGGAGGATCTTGTTTTCTGTCCAATAAACTGTCTTCTGTTTTCATATCTTGTCCTTTGATACAGTGAAATCAATCGTTTAATACGGCATTGTCCAACATGATCACGTGATCTGTCTTGATTGTTTCATGAAACTTGTTTCATGAAGTTGAGACGCTTGCAATGATCCCGGCTGAGTTTCAAATGAGTTGCAGGATGCTTTACTTTGTGCAACTTAAGTGAAATTTAGTTTCATCCAAGTTTCAAGCAATTGCATGCAATTTTCACCGTGTAAATCCAACTTTAAATCCATAAACATTTTCCTTACATTTTTGTTCAGAGCATTTATCAACATACTAGGATACAAGTAATATTTTCTCTACTAACTATAAAAAATGATTTTGCATCCTTAATTAAGGCCTTATATGAACTAATTTTTTCCATTCAAGAATTCTGTCAAATTAAGGAAGAAAATACTTCTCAGATGAAATGACCATCTTCTATGAGGTCAGTTTATTCAGTACATTGGGCAGTAATGAAATGACATACAGTAATTTTCAGTATAATAGGCTAAATGGGTTCTGACAGTGCGCTTACCCTCTTGCTAAAAGAATGAAAAATCTAACGCCACATTAAAATGGTATGAAGTCATTATTTCTGGCAACAGCAGTGCGGGGGCAAAGAAGTCTTTCTTGGGAAGTAGTTCGACAGAGGCCAATGGAGCACTGCCAATTTTCCACACTTCTCCACTGCCATCGGCCCTTGAGAAGTTCTTTTCAACACAAGACTAGATATGAGCTGCAGGCCTTCATATTTGCTTTGGCCTCAAGCTTGTATCCTGCATCAGTCTTCACTTATGAGTTCATTATGCTTGGATTCGCAGAGAAAAAGTACTATGGCCAGTTTCTTACCCGGTATTTGTTGGCACCAATTTGCTCCACTTGGAACCGTTTAGGACACTTGCACTTTGCTACCTGGCGAGTCACCTGGGGAATTCAAGTCAATATGTCAGTGTTGAAAACCTCAGAAACATAATGGTCAACAACACAGTGAACCACTTTATTCCAAGCAGTCGGGAACTAAACCAAAGCACACCTCATCTTCAATCTTGTCAGCGTCGGTGAGCGGTTTGTAGGCGTCTTTGTTGGGGTGCAGCGCAGCCACAAACTCGTAGTAGTCGATGTAGCCGTCACCATCACGATCGAAAATGTCTGCTACAGCGCTCATCTCCAGTCGACTGGTGGGGAACTCTACAGAGAGCAGAGAAAAACAGGGCTCAATCACAGTGTTTACAGACAAAGATGAAAGGAGTAGCTTAAACAAAAATGTAACGAATGATGCATGAAAGCAAGTAAGTTATTGATAAAAAAGAAAGTGATCTGCTAGGATAATGATATCTTGAACACCATGGTAAAGGGAGTATAATTTGTTGGAGCTAGTTATGGCACAGTGCCACTTTTTCTTTTTCAATACACTGTTAGAAATAAAGGTTCTGTTCAGGTACATTTCTTTGTTCATCAAGGTACAAACAGTGTAAATGTTCCCTCAAAGGTACAACAGTGGTTTTAAGGTCTGATTGTGAACCTTAAATAAGTTTTTCCAGGTGAAAAGTTCGTATTTGTACCTTTTCATAACCGAATGTTTTAAACAGAACAGTAAAATAAAAGCCTGGAGACGAGACGGGGTGTGTGGAGTCAGTACAGCTTAGAACATATCATTTCAGTGGATTATGGTTCAGTTATGTTCCCTGAATAAAGGTACTGAGATGAACCCTTGAGGGTTCCACCCCAGTGACAAAAGAGGTACTGCCCCAGTGACAGTTTAGTACCTTAATTTCTAAGAGTGCACTGTACTGAAACCTTGAGTATTGTCTGATACTGATACCGATTCCGATCCAATGTTCTTTATTCAAATACTACTCAGCTTTTTAAGTGAGATCTTTTTAATTGAAGCACTTCACTTAAGATGAACATGTAAACGTTGCTTATGAAGCTGAAACTACTCAGTCACTGTACTGCTGCCCCACATACCAAATACAAAGTGATTACACAGCATAAGCAGTTCCCAGGGATTGTTAGTGGTTGCTGTGGTATTGAAGTTAGTTGCTAGGGTGTTGTTAGGATGTTGTTATGGTGTTCCAGTTGGTTGACTGGGTGCTGCTAGGTGGTTGCTATGGTATTCCAGATGGTTGCTAGGGTGTTGTTAGGATGTTGTTATGGTGTTCCAGTTGGTTGACTGGGTGCTGCTAGGTGGTTGCTATGGTATTCCAGATGGTTGCTAGGGCACTGCTAGGATGTTGTTATGGTGTTCCAGTTGGTTGACTGGGTGCTGCTAGGTGGTTGCTATGGTATTCTATGTGGTTGTTAGGGTGTTGTTAGGATGTTGTTATGGTGTTCCAGTTGGTTGACTGGGTGCTGCTAGGTGGTTGCTATGGTATTCCTGTTGGTTGCTAGGGCATTGCTAAGCGGTTTCTGTAGTGATCAAGGCGGTTGCTATGGTGCTACTAGGTGGTTGCTATGGTATATTAGGTGGTTGCTAAGATATGCTAGGTGACTGCTATGGTATTCCAGGTAGTTGCTAGAGTGTTGCTAGGATGTTGTTATGGTGTTCCAAGTGGTTGACTGGGTGCTGCTAGGTGATTGCTATGCTATTCCAGGTGGTTGCTAGGGTATTGCTAAACAGTTTCTATGGCGACTACGGCAGTTGCTGCAGTGTTACTAGGTGGTTGCTATGTTATCTTAGGTGGTTGCTGGGAGGTGCTAGGTAATTGCTATGGTATTCCAGGTGGTTGCTATGGTATCCAATATTGTTGCTAGGGTGTTGCTAGTGTACTTGTTTCATCGTCATATAAGAAAGATGCAAATCCGACTTTGAAGGGTTGCTATATGAAACTATGAGACCAGTTAGAGGACAAAAATCCAGCAGAAGAAGGACAACAACAACAATTACAACTCTGATGAAGATAAGTTTACATTTTAAGAGCCTTTCATACAGACATCCAAGGGGTAACAAACTTAGTCTCAACTGTATGTCTTTCAGGGTGGTCAGTGTAGGCTTTCACTACAGTAGAACACAGGAGAACCTCTTTATGTGGACATATTTAATCTGGATCTTGGTCAGGTTTAAGCCTAAAAACTAGTGAAGACATATTCACTCACTCGAAGAAAGAATGCCTTCAATAAACTCCTGTCTGGTGACCTTGCCGTCCTGGTCCTTGTCGATGCGGCGGAAGAAGTCCATGACTCGTGACTTCTTGTGGTTCATCCACCGCATGTAGCGCTTCCTCCACACATCAAAGTCAAAGTTGGCAAACTCTTTCAGCTGAGAAGACAGTGGAGAAAAGAGGGTTTTGATCACACAAACGTCATGCTTAGTCTTTCCAAAGCTGGTCTGAAGCTAGTAATGTCTAACTGACCTCCTCCAGTCGGTCCAGAGCATCGTTAAGTTTTCTTCTCCTGTCCAGGGCCAGAAGCCAAACCTGCTGCCACTTACTGACCAGCAGGTTAACTCGGGGGTTCTTGGTCTCGATTTGAGCCTGAGCTGCCGTTGGATACACAGCCTGGGTCGGGGATCTTTTCCCTGTTTGTAAAAACACAGTATAAACGATTAGCTGGCTTTATTTGACATCAGCTGCTCTCAGCGTTGAATTAGACTGTGGTTCTGTGACACTTATTTTGTCAAATGTACAGTTGTATGCAAAACGTTACATGTTTTGCTGATCTCAGAAGTGAAAAAAGGTTAACATACCCTCTACAGAGAACACACTTAAATAGGGCATCTTCCTGCAAATTTTTATGCACAATCTGTTGAGTTAAACATGTTAGGAAAGAACAGAACATATAAAATGTGCCATAACTTTTGTACAGGCCACATTTTATGTTTTATTCCCCCCCAGTATTAAATTCAGCAAGTAAACAGTAATTGTGCATTAAAATGTACAGAAATGCCTGTGGAGAATATATTAATTCATTTTCACTTAGAAGATAAAACATGTGATGCACCCCAGCTTTTGGATCTGGTTTAAAATAAAATTTGAATGCTATTAAATTTTTAACAATATAATCATCTACAATATAACAACAGCAAACATACAGTATAAAACAGTATACAATAAATAATCAAGATAAATACATGAAGAAAAATAGACTAAATACTAATGAAAAATATATACAAATTAGCCAGTGGGATATAAAAATAGAATAAAAAGTCTGAGTAAATTATTGCATGTTTGTAAAAGAGATTTGCATGTCAAATATTTTTTTTATCATTATATTTATCTGCAATAATTTACTCAGAGACTATTTTTATACAATTTTTAGATTATTTTAAATCACATTGCCTAATTTATATACATATTTTCTTGTTTTCTTGTATTACATCTTATTTATCTTGATTATTTACTTTATACTTTATTTTATAGTCTATGTTTGCAGCTGTTACTCTCTAATTTCCCAACAGTGATTATTAAAGCATTATTTTTTTTTATGTGTCTGAGACCTTTGATGTAAAAAACGTACGGCCGGTTCTTCCTTTGTCCAGCACAGGAATCTGAGACTGAACAGGAGCATCTGCAGTGGCTTTCCTCTTATGAGTCTTAGTAACTTTGTCCACGTCTGGTTGTTTCCTGGTCATCTCCTCCATGAAGGTCTGAATAAACATAATTACTGGGCTTTAGTTCAATGACAGCAAACACCTTATCAAACTAGAATGAGCATTGGTCAGTATGAAGAGCTGCAGTAGGTATCGGTGGTACCTGATGCTCCGCGATGAGCGCTTTGACCTCCTCTAACTCCTGAGGCAAGACCTCCTTGTCCTTCTCCGTCAGCGTGGTCTCAGCCCACTGCAGCCAGCTCAGCAGACTCTCCAGCAGCTCCTGAGTGGCCAGAAGCTCACTGAGAGCAGTGGCCAGCCTCTGCTGATGCTGCCGTGCCCATGCTGTGACCTGACACACAGCAAAATAGAGGAGCAAGAGGAATCAGACTGAGGGCAGGTTTACAGTGGGCTACTCAGTATTACTGAACTAACATATAGGTATTGATATATCGGTGTTCCTGCAACAAGAGCATTAACAGGTCCCAGCAGTGCTTTTTTGGATATATGTTCACTTTTTTTTAGCATAAAGCATAATAAGGTTTTATTAGTGTCATAACATGTTTTCACATACACACTTATTGCTACATATACTGAGCAAATGTGATTGGTGGAGCGAATTTTGGGTCAAAATACCAGTTTTATTCATGTCCCATGGCAGTAATTTCAATCTTTAAATACATAAAGAGACTGAATTACAAAATTACACCTTTTCAATTCAAACTGCACTGTAAAAATGTTTAAATTAAACATATTTAATAGAAATACTACTGCTGATCAGTCATTTTGTCTAGAAATATGTCTACACTTAAAAGTTTTTCAAAGCCAAACAAATCTACTTTCAATAGAAACATAAGCTACCCAAACAGCACATGGAATAAAAGTGTGGTAAAGTGTGCTAATCTAGGTTTTCCTGGATTTACAGAAAAGTAAAGTAAATATCAACTTTTAATATTCAATCCCTTCCATAGCACCTGGTCATATTATGTTTTGTTCATTTTTCTGAGTGAAAATAAGCTAACACTTCTACAGTGGACATATTTAAATGGTTCAATATACACATTTTAATAAGCAAATTTAAGTACACTACTGCTAAATTTAACATATAGATAAAAATGTAAATAAAATGTGCCCTAACCTTTGCACAGGTCACATTTTATGTTTTATTCTACTCCCAATATGTTAAATTCAGTAGATAAACAGTTATTTTGTATTAAAATGTGCATTAGTGTGTTCTCTGTAGAAGATGTGTTCACTTATTTTTACTCAGCACAAAATGGAATTTGACCAGAGGCAGCCAAACTTTTTTACCAATTATATTCAAGAACAGTGAAAATATCTTCACCACAACAGCTCAGAGTGTTGTAAAGAAAATTCAAATCAGATTAAACTAGCTGTAAAGACAAATCAGGTTCAGATTTAAAATTTAAAAATGATATTACCACGGTCCAAAAAAAAATCTCTAATTTTTTTATTTTCTGTCATTTGAGCACATCAGCTTCCTTTTACATTGCGTGAAAATTTCATATTGAATGGACCAACAGAAATACTCCAAAAATGCTTAGAATAACATCACTTTTACATTAACTTACATTAAAAGTGCAAAACGTTTTTGCACTCTCCTGTAAAGTTACCTTTTTGGACGATATGATGATATGCAAATTTTTGTTGAGGTCCATTTTCTACAAAACGTGGACCGGCAGAAGTGCCAGAGTTGCAGTAACACCCATTTACATAGTGTGAATGCATGGTAAATACATGGTGTAACAAATGTGGTATAACTATGCACTCTTTGACAGACACTGTATAACAGCAATAATAAAATCTCAGATTAAAATAATAATAACTGAACTAATATACATATTTATAGTGTAAAAAGTAGCAGAAATAGAGCATTAAGCTAAATCCGTCACAGAAGTGCTACGTGTAAATCCTGCCATTGTATAAGAGTGTGAGGTTAGTGAGATGAGCAAAGACCTCCTCGAAGCGCGCTTTGATGATGGTGTTCCAGTGTTTGACAGTGGTGATGGAGTCCGGATGACAGATGGCTAAGATAGCTTCGCCCATGCTGGTGGCTTTGCCCAGAGCCACCCTCTTCTCCTCCAGCTTCTTCATGAATTCCTGCTCGGAGCAGAGAGCCTCTCGTTAGTCAAACGCCACCACAAAGACAAAACAAAGGGAATTTACGCTGAGGTTCCAAGAAGGCTTTTCCTTTCCACCCCACCACATTCTGTGCAGTGTGAATAATGTCTGATGAGAAGTATGTGGACTCGGAACAAACCGTCTCTGGTTCAAATATGAGATCACACTCAAGGGATATGAAATAATGGTTGAGTCCTGCTTTGGCCCGCGCTAGTTCATAAAGTTTGAGAGGCCATGTATGGTTTGTGTTACTCCACTGGCAGCCCTGATGGGCACATCGGAACGAGCTGGCCTGAAGATCTCCGAACTCTGTTTTAAGAAGAGTTAATGAGAGAAGAATGAAAGAATGGAAATGCGGCCGAATATATTTACACACGTTCTGCCTCAGAGCGATAATCACTCTGGCACGTGACTGGATTGAAAATTCAGCTCCAGAATTTTATTAATTCCAGATCGCTGTTTAAAATCGCTTATTGATGACACAACTTTTTCCACGAAAGAGAAATCGTATGATTACTCGGAGGAAATGCTGTGCATGTACGCTTTGTGTATTGGTGTTGCTTCAGCGGGAAACTTAGGGCCAATCCTGTTTAACCCTTTGCCCTACCACAGCCCTTAGTACTCCGTTTTGCGCGTTCACGTCTAGGGGTAGGGTGTCCTGATTCTTGTTGAGATAGAGGGGTAGGGTCAAGTGTTAGGGCTACATGACCCTCCAAACGGAGGTTTTTCAGAGACTCCAAACAGAGTGTTGTGAGAATTTACATTTACATTATATCATTTAGCAGACGCTCTTATCCAGAGCGATTTACAAAAAGTGCTTTGTCTACTTAGAGAAAGTATCTCTGCTAGTTGCAAATAGGTTATATTATCTTATATATTATCGTATAATGATTTTTCAATGTATTTTGGTCCTTTTCTTCAGAACAAGCATAAAAAATCACTTGTAGTAAGCCACTGTCTCTGTATCTAGCTAGCTAAATTTCCTGTACCTTTAGTTACATTCTGGCATCTCAGGTGTCAGAAATGCTGCACTATTTAAGGTGGAACGGGAAAATTCGAACAAGAAGCTGGTGAATATCTGACTTCAGCTTCATATCACTGAAGAATTAGGGGTGGGTGATAATAAATAATTGCCCCCGTCTTTGAAGTTATATGATTCTCTAAGTGTAACTAAAGCCCTGCAGTGAGGAGCTGAACTTTACCCTCCTCTGCTGTCACTGCAGACTGGCAGGGTCGCCTACAGAGCAGCGCTGGTAGCTGTTAATGAAGTAATGCTCTTTTTATTTGAGGGTCCCATTTCAGAGGGAAGATTTCAACCACTACCCTGTAACTCAGTTCCAAGGGGTTAGGGAGACACTCGAAAACAAGGGGTAGGGGTAAAAATAAGAAATGGGATTGGGCCCTATTGTGCCTTGTATGGTACAGACCTACTGAACTTCTTCTTCAGATCGGGTCATTTTGACACATTTTGACACAGAACAGAAAAACGTTTTTGTTTACATTCCATAGACTACACCGACAAACCTTCTGAAGGGTTCAAATGTTCTTCTGTAAGAAATAAACATACCAATAACCAATGACCAGTAAACATCTGCACTTTAGCTGATGAAACGCAAAACTAACTGAACCAAATTAAAAAGATCCTTAAAAAGATAAAGGTGACAAACATCCAAACAAACTCTGACTTTAGCAAACAAACGAGGTGTGAAATCATACTTTGTGCTGTTCGATGAGACTTCGGAGGGCTTCCTCGTCATCAGGCAAGGAACCATGGAACCGGAGGCTCTGTTCTGCTTCAGCCAGCCATTCCAGCAGAATGTGAACAGTCGAGTGGAACTCCTCTGCCTGAGAAACACAGAGAACATAAGCTACTGAGATAACACATCCCACACTGGGATAAAGCTGCACAGCTCGTCAGCACGGAATTATAAACTACACCTGAGGAGAGTGAAGCTCCATCATATGAACCACTCGACTGTTCCAGTAAGTTGTGAATTTTCAGTTTCAGAATCTCTAATCTAAAAAGTTCAGATCAGCTACACTCTTGGAAAAAGGTGGTCCTTCAAGGGTTCTTTGATTAAGGGAACGGTTCTAATAGAACCATGAGTTCTGTGTAGAACCATTTTCAGGCTTAAGTGGTTCTTTGCATGGTGAAACTGTTCTTCAGATTGATGGAGAAAAAACCCTTTTTGAAAAGGGTTCTACACAGCACCAAAAGGGTTCTCCTATTGTTACGATATCAAGCTTGTAACAATAGAAGAAGCTTTTTTGCTGCTATATAAGATCCATTTTCAAAAAGGTTCTATATATACATCTACAGCACATTCTCTTCTATATAGAACCATTTTCTTTACTAAAGAACCCTTGAAGAATCATCTTTTTTAAGTGTGAACCCAAAATGCCCACATCCTGTATGTTCTTGCATTTTATTTTTTAACTTACGGTGTGTGAGCTTACATACCTTTTCCATCCTCTCTTTTTCCCTTACAGGTAAATATGCTGGTTTTGTTGCTGTGCCTTTAAGAGTGATGTATGTAAATGAGCTGTTTGGATAGGCTGCACTGTATTATGCCTGGTTCATTAAGCAGTCAGAAACACCCCTTATAACTTCTGTGAAACTACACTGCTGAATGCTCAATACCTATCGGTAATCACCACATCGCTTTGCTCAAGTTAAACTCCGCCCACTTTGAGTCTCCAATGTTCGCGCTGCCTCCTGTTGCCGGAAATCGCCAGCTCTCATTGAAAATAAATGACCTCCGGCCGCCTTGTTGCGGCGCGTCACTGCCGGTGTGAATGTAGGGTAAGGGGTTTATTCTAATTTATACAACAGTTCCGGCCACGCAAGCTGATTGGTTGAGAGGCGTTCTAACTGTGCTGTTATTTTGCCATAACATCACCTTTTTTGTTTACAAACACTGTATCACTCTGCTGAGACGCTGTTGCTAAGCAACGACTCTGACAGCTGTAGGAGACGCTCAAGACATTTGAACGTTTTCACTTCTTACTTTGCCACAAACAGAAAATGGACACTTTTAAGATCACATTTGACCGACAGCCGATTTGGTCAGACTCTGAAGATGAGACGACACTAAATTCCGAAACGGTCGGCTGTTCTGTGTGAAGCTGGAGAACGAACTACCGGCTGTGCAGCGAGTGGGCGGAGCTCGTTACTCTGACGTAGCAACAAGCTGCTCGTTAAGGAACTATAATTTGGTGAAGGAACTGCGAACATTAAAACATATTAAACGCCGCGTTCACGGCCCAGTTTATTAATTTATCACTTTATTTATTTAACTGTTGTATAAAAGCAATAGAACACTCGAGGAGTGTGTTATCGCCAATAATTTTATTATTTTGTGATAACACACTCCCTCTCGCGTTCTATTGCTTAAATGTCCAGATACCATCACTGTTCAAAAAGGACATACTACTGCATTTGTGTTTGGCTTAGGTCAGCTTTGGCCATCTGTAGTGCAGCGTGACGGTGCAGAGAGCGCTGTACCTGACACAGGGCCTGCTCCAGACGAGTCTGTTTGGACACTGAGAGGGCGCACACCGTCTCCCAGCGCGTACTCAGCTCCTGCATCTGAACTTTCACCCACGACGAGTCGTCATGGCTGCTCTCAGTCAGCTCACGGGCCGAGCGCTTCAGGGCCTGAACGGAGCCCGTCCTCTTCCCCAGCTCCTTCTGAAACACCTGCGGCACGACAAACACAGTCAGAGCAGTTTTAGTCATTTCAACCAGGATAAGCGGTGAAGCTGTATCAGGGCTCTAGGCTGGAGCCAACTGACAGCAGCATCAGGAATCACAGACAGATTACATCTTGGCTTTAAGATGCACACAAGGAAAGCGTATGTGTCTCATAAACAGTGTTTCTGTACATCTGCATGTCTTCTATCTGTCCTGATATGCTGGCTTGCTTCAGAATATTCTGGGTGAAGCAGCATGAGGCAGGTTTTTTCTTGGGTCATGCTTGCTAAATAAAGCTGTGCTGCAGCCTTACACACACCGAGTGTTTTCCCCTGAGGCACATGAACATTGGCTTATGTGACTGACATCAAAATTATTCAAAACTTTAAGAAAATTTCATATATCTCAGCCTAACAGTGGACTACCAGCGGTCTGTACTTTACAGTGGAAGCCGAGCCATTTTGTAATGAATAGGCTGTAAAAGTGTGATTTTATTCAAACCATACCAAAACAAAGTTAGCTTAGCAAGTTAGCACGTTTCTGACCTGAAACGTGAGCATCATCATCTCCTCTAGTGTAAGCAGGCACCTCTGTGGCATTACCCCGTTACTTGTGATGAACCAGGTTATATAATGGGTTGGGGGTGCAATCAGACCACTGAACTGCACACAATCTCACAAGCTTACTGTGTGCATGTCTGGGACAAGTGACAGTTAATAAGTGGATGGTGAGTTTATGTGTTTGACTGGACAAATAAATATGAAAGGTACAATAACAAACAGGCTAACAACTTATTAATAAAAGCTAATGTGTTCTGAGAGGAGCAAACATTTTAAGAAGGATCGTTTCAGCCTATACTTCAAATGCATACATTTCCCAGCAGAATAGTCTGCCAAGGCATGTGCACAGCAGGGTTATTATAGATTTGAATTTTCATTAGTTTTTATTGTTATAACTCATAGTTATGCTCATATTCATTGTGTTGTAACTACCTTATACCACTTAGTGCAATACCTGCTCTCATGTAAATACAATAAATCTGTCAATGCTGTGTAAATATGCAATAGATATGCTTTTATTCCTACTCTGTCATAGTGATATTTTCTGTGATATATTCTATTTCTGCCTAATTTCTGTCTGTTTTTATTCCTATTTTATTTCTGCCTACTATATTAAGTTTATGTGCAATTATGTCTTGCTACTGTAACACTGCAATTTCTCTTCAGGATCAATACACTTCTTTCTGTCTATCTATCTGTCTGTCTATCTGTCTGTCTGTCTATCTGTCTGTCTGTCTATCTGTCTGTCTGTCTGTCTGTCAGTCTGTCTATCTTTCTATGTATTTAGTTTTTCATGTTGGATTTTGATTTCAGTTAAGTTTCAGTTTTAGTTTTTAGTATGACAGTGTGTTTTAGTATGACAGTGTTTTAGTATGACTGTGTTTTAGTATGACAGTGTGTTTTAGTATGACTGTGTTTTAGTATGACAGTGTGTTTTAGTATGACTGTGTTTTAGTATGACAGTGTGTTTTAGTATGACTGTGTTTTAGTATGACTGTGTTTTAGTATGACAGTGTTTTAGTATGACAGTGTTTTAGTATGACAGTGTTTTAGTATGACAGTATGTTTTAGTATGACAGTGTGTTTTAGTATGACTGTGTTTTAGTATGACTGTGTTTTAGTATGACAGTGTGTTTTAGTATGACTGTGTTTTAGTATGACTGTGTTTTAGTATGACTGTGTTTTAGTATGACAGTGTGTTTTAGTATGACTGTGTTTTAGTATGACAGTGTTTTAGTATGACTGTGTTTTAGTATGACAGTGTGTTTTAGTATGACTGTGTTTTAGTATGACTGTGTTTTAGTATGACAGTGTGTTTTAGTATGACTGTGTTTTAGTATGACTGTGTTTTAGTATGACAGTGTGTTTTAGTATGACAGTGTGTTTTAGTATGACTGTGTTTTAGTATGACTGTGTTTTAGTATGACTGTGTGTTTTAGTATGACTGTGTTTTAGTATGACTGTGTTTTAGTATGACAGTGTGTTTTAGTATGACAGTGTGTTTTAGTATGACTGTGTTTTAGTATGACAGTGTGTTTTAGTATGACTGTGTTTTAGTATGACTGTGTTTTAGTATGACAGTGTGTTTTAGTATGACTGTGACAGTAGGTATTCGTTAAGGGTGGAATAAAATTAACTCAACAGCAGACTGAGCTCAGCTTGGCTCGGTTCCAGCTTTCCTTAAAAACGTCCAAACACAGAAAGGATCCACTTCTAAACTCTCATTTATGCCCAGAAAAACAAAAACTAAAGTTTATTTTTTTTATTTTGTTTAATTTTGGTTATTTTTGCTGCAGACATTTTAGTTTTGATTTTCATGTTTTTGTAAAACTGTGATTTTTACATTATTACAGTGAAAAAGCACATTTCTTAATTTCTAATTTTCATTTTAGTAATAGTTAGTAATAGTATCCATAATTACCCTGGTGCATAGTGCTTACAATCAGTGCATAAGTTTATATCAGACCTGAGAGCAGCAGCTAAGCAATCAGTCAGAGTAATTCTGAAACCTGCACATCCTGAACAAGTGCCAGATACAGCTCTGAAGTGATATAAAGGCTAACACTGACATGTCCTTATGCAATATAGCAGTCACTGATAAATGGTTTTGGACACTCAGGCAAATCTACCCTTTATGTCAGTCTTCTCCACCATCACACCTGCATTAGCTAACACACAGTAAGGCTTTATGAGAGCAGGACACGGTGGGTTAATACCGTGTGACATTCCTACAGCGCTGATCACCACAGAGATGCCAGGGTCACGTATTTTGGCAGAAGTCTCGCTCTAGATTGTAAGTCCTTTCCAAGAGAAACAGAATCAGTGAGCACTGATTGGAAAGAAACGGCACTAACGGGACTAGACGAGCCTAAAAACGCTACAGAATCAGTGATATGAGGCCAAGGCCCTCGAGTCGATCAGCTGAACCCACAAGCTGCATTTTGCCTTCAGACAGACTGAGAGCAGCTCATCTGGAGGAGGGACTACAAGAGAAGAAGAGGTTCTGCGCAGTGACTGAGTTCAGCTGTCTTCTTTAATTGAAACCAGGAGGCTTGTCCACACACTCGGACAAGCAGCAGGGGGAGAGAAACGTCTATTCTCATGCCATAATTACATTTCATTGTGGCCGAGAGCTCCAAGAACAGAACCCAAAAGGCCCAAAATAGAGCCACAGGACAGGAGGGTGGAGATGACGAGAGATTCTGAAGGAATGTTTCAACACTATGGTCTGCTGGGAAATCCACACGGAAATCCTATAATTAGTAATCCCCATTCAAATGATTAATCAGTTTAATCAGGTGTCCTGTTAAGAAAGCTTTTTCTGCTTGTTGTGCTGTCTGAACTAAATTCTAGACAGGAAAAGTACCTTGTGGCTGTCGATGAGGTTCAGCACCAAGTCGATGTCTCCGTGCACGGGCTGGTCCTCTGCCAGCTGAGGTTCTACTTTATAAAGCCAGTCGATCAGAGCCTGCAAAGCGTCGGTGAACTGGCCTGAAAACAGGAGAGCTTCCTCCAGCTTGTTTTGCCTGTGAGAAAAGACCACATTGGGTCACATTCATCAAATGCAAACGATTACAAATGTATTTACCAGAATTCAAATATTATATATGAACTATAGAGAAGAAAATTGTCAGTTAATCAAAATAAACACATAAATAAAGCCATATTTGCAACAGCAATAATGCTATATACTACAGAACTACACACTAGAAAAATGAACCATTTTATAACAGCAAACAATTATAAATATGTTTATCTGGATATGAACTCTGCAATCGGTCAGAATAAACTCCTAGATGTTGTCAGTTATGTACATTTTCAAAAGAAGACTAAAAACACACCTGGACTATCTTTACCTGTGCCTTTCAGACTCGTCTTTCTAGCACTTCATTACTTATTTCCCATTATTCTATGCTTATTACTTTATCTGCATTACCTTTTTGTTTCATTGTGTTTTTAATTTTTATTTTAATTGTAATTTTCTGTCATTTTAAATGTAATTTTTCTACCTTGTATATGAAAACTTGCTATGTAAATAAACTTGCCATGCCTACAACTGTTATATTTCGCTGTTGTCGGAACAAAACCTCGTATCTCCAAAATGGTACCTTTACAGGAGAAGGAAAAAACATACTTTACTTTTAATGTAAGTCAATGGAACCAGACTTTTTTCCAAGTCATTTGGGGTCATTTCTTTTGGTCAATTCATCATTAAACTTACACATAATGTAAAGGGCAACAGGCATTTTCAAATTATGTCAAAAACTGAAGATATGAGGTTTTGTTCCGACAGCAGTGATATGAACCATAGAGAAGAAACATTATCATTCAGTTACTCAGAATAAACATATTAATTAGCCTTTACTAACTGCAGTTTTAAAAGGCCTCAGCCTGCCTAACTCTTGTCCTGGAGATCTACCTTCCTTCAAAGTTTAGCTCCAACTGTAACTGAACACACCTCCCTCTAATTAAATCCAACCAAACTCCACCCAGTTTGGCAGGAAATTTGCCCAATCTGGCAACTCTGTCCCAGAGACTCAAGACTCGACTTGGGCTTGCATGAATTGACATCTCTGGTTCCCAGTCTCTTCATGTAAACCAGGCCTGATCACGTGAATCAGGCAAGTTAGATTAGGGTTGGAACCCTAAAGGGTCAGTAGATCTCCAGGAGAAGGGTTGGCCATTTCTGTGTTAAGGTAAGTTAAGGTGATCTCCGGCCGAGACACGCAGACGTACCTCTCGACAGACTTGCCGCACACCGTGTCCCATTTATCCCTGAGTTCACAAAGCATGTCGTCCAGTTTCTGGTTGTCATCTTGCAGGGAGGTTTTGTCCTTCAGTGCCCGGCCGGTGCGGCTGGTGGTATCATACACAGAGTGCTTGCCACCCAGAGCCTTCTGGAACTCCTGTAACAGCCCAACAACAGGGAGTCAGAGTTAACATTGAGGCTCAGTTCAAGGACAAGCAGACTGGAACTTGTTCCAGTACAGGTTGCCATGTGGGCAAATGGAGTTAGATGCTTCCCTGCTTCCCTGTTAACTGAGTCAACAGAAAGTGGAGGAATCTGCTGAGTCCACACTGCTGAGCTGTTAATTATATGGCACTGTGCTGTCTTCTATACTGTGAACAACAGTGAGTCATGCTCCTTTTGGAGGAGGAGGGATGCATTATTTGAATTAGTAGACAGACTTTCTAACAGGGCCGGCCCGATTTGAAAATCTTGTGATCAATACTGATTTTAGGAAGCTAAAAATTTTAGATAACTGATAAAAGCTGATGAAATTTAGTTGAAAAAATTGTTATAAAAATGTAACATTGTCAAAAACAAAACCAGTAGTTTTAGCTCATGATCATATTTTTAAAACTGGAATAAACTGCAGAAACAAGAAGCATTAAATTATATTAATAATGTAATATACAATGTGTATGTAATATTGCAAAGCTTTGCATCATTATTAGATGTGTCATAACATCTTATTCTCATGCTAAAAGTTAGGTTTCAAAAATACTTTTGTTAATTTTAAGGATATATGATGGTATCAATATTTGTAGTTATGTGGTTATATATATATATATATATATATATATATATATATATATATATATATATATATAACAGAAGGACAGAAGTCTAGATCTGACCATTATCTGACAACGTATTTATCGTGCTCTGCATTTATACCTCTATATAAATAAATAAATGTAATATTATGATGTTAATCTAGATTTTATAAATGTTTCATGCATCAGCACCAGCTGATATAGCAGTATGCAAATGTTTGGGCCCCCCTGGTCAAATTACATGTTATTGTTAATTTTCTAAGAAAAGAAGTTGTAAGTTAACACATCCTTTACAGAGAACACACTTAAATATGACAAGTATGAAATGTGCAATCACACAGACCAGATATTAGGTTTTATTTTTTCCCCAGTAGGTTAAATTCAACAAATAATCAATACTTGTTTTGTTATAAAAAACGTAATTTGACTAGGGTTCCTCAAACTTTGCATACAATCATAAATATGAGAGACTTCAATATAATATTAATTCTACTAGGCAACTGATGTGTAGATATGAGGTATGATTTTCTGTACAGTGCTGTCCTAAAAAGCGTTTCCTGATATTTTACTGTTCATATACAAAGAGAATTGAATCAGACTCTTTCACTGTGCCTAAAAACCTGGATGAGAACGCGTCTGTGGGGGGTCCCACAATTCCAGCGTTCCTTCAGTCTCCCTGGATTAGAAGTATCGGAGATCAGGGCTTGGCCTATTTATCCAGCACAGGGGGGGATTATTATGGCATTATGGAAGCCCCAGAATCTCTAATGCTGATGCTAATGTGGGGTTCGCCATGGATGATGCCCCCAGTTTAAATCGTACTGCAGTCAGGATTAACACAGAATTACTGCCACTGTGGCGGCGTGATACTTCCTTTGTGAGTCACGGCTGAAGAATAACACAATGACTGCGATGGAGAGAGCAGCTGGTTTTCCGTGATTCACACCTTGTCCGGACATGGTTTACTGTGCTTCTGCAGATGTCTGGTGCATGAGTTAATGGAAATGCATGAAGGCAACACAAGGCGCCACAGATCAGCAGGATGTTGGGAAGACTGTCATTATTTAGTCAAAATAGTGGGATCACCTTATGCTGAGCCAGCTGCAGTTTGATCTTGTCCGGATCGTTGGCGATCTCCAGCTCTGAGTCTAGAGCCCTTTCCGACTCCTCCAGCCACTCCATCAGCTTAGTCCAGCTCTCATGGAACTGCAGGGAGATAACGACAGGAGGATCACTCTAATATAATAACCTCTATATTTCACTTTCAGAAATATTACTGGAAGTTCAAGCTGAGTTGAATCACATGCTGAGCAGAAAGACTCCATTCAATAAGGACTACTATTGATAGACCAGTGGCTAACAAGCTGCAAACTAAGCATACATGTGTCTTTAAACCTGAAACTACAGAAGGCATAATGGTTTAATTAGCTATTGAGTAATAGTTAATAGAGCAATTCATTATCAACCTAATCAGCCCTCCTACACACTATATTGGGTAAAAATACTATAATTTGACCAGTTACAGCCCAGGTGAGGTTTGTCACCTGTTTGGCGCGCTTCCTGGCGTCGTCCAGCAGGCGTCCTCGCTCCACCGAGCGCTGCACCACTTTCTCCCAGCGGCTCTGCACACTCAGCAGCAGGTTCTTAATCAGCACCACGTCCTGCTTCTGGCTGAAGTACTTCAGGTGGGTTCCCGTCTTATCCAGCTCGATGATCTGATCCCGGTGCGAGTTCACCTCTGTCACAAACACCTGCAGGGAGAACAAGCTTAGTGGAGGGGAAATCATTCCGATCTCAGAAAACGGTGATTGTGCATGAACTGCCGAGTTTGGAAGGGAACCAAATGGGCCAAAGCCAAATGTGATTAAGCTCAAAAGAGCAGAGGTTTCCTGAGTGAGTGGACTTCGATAATGTGGCTCTGAGATATCAGAGCAGGCAGAGTCATTAACTGGAAACGGAAAACATTAATACAGTGCTGCGCAAAAGCCAGAGACCACCTTTTATCTACTGCATTCCAGTCAAAATACCATTAAATACAAGATTTTTTTTTAGTTTCAGCTAAACTAAATATATTATTTTTTCAGTGTTCAGTGAGTCACTCTTCACCTTTATTCCAGCTTCCATTCTTTTCAGGAGACTCACTTTCAGTTCCTCAAAGAATCTGCAGACACACCTCCAAAGTTCAGTCTTAGAAGCTGGTTGATCATTTTCTGAAGTAATCAAACACATTCAGTGGTGTTGAGGTCTGGACTCTGGGGTGGTCAGTCCATTGTTCAGCTTCTTTGTTTGATGTGTCCGTCTCCTTTTCTCAGTGAGGTTCTTCTTGACAGCTACACATCCTTTCAGACCCACAGCGCTGAGTCGTCTTCTCACAGTGGAAGGATGGACAGAAACACCTGTGGATGTTTTCAGATCTGAAGCAGCTTGATTTTCTCCTCTCTCTCAAAGATGAAAGCTTTAAGTGCTGTTTATCTGATGGGGGCAGTTTTGGGGTCTAACAGGTCTTCCAGGTGGTTGTTAGGAGTCACATTTTCTCTGTAGCTTTTAATCAGTTTTTGAACTCCAGTTTTGTTGTTTTCCTTTGATTTTATCTAATCTCCTCTGAAATATCTTTTAAAAAATTATTAATGTGTACTTAATAGCTGTTTTGACTGGAAATGAAATAAATGAAGGTCTCTGATCTCTGAATTCAGCACAGTACTGTAGATTATGTGTACAGATTAGGATGTCGCTGATTCATATTCTTAACACCGGTCTGGCATAGAAATACCTTGTGCTCATCAATCTGGAACAGAATAGTCTCCAGGATGAGGGAAGCTGGAGAGACCATGGTCAGGGTCTGCTCAGCTTGGGTCAGCCAGTTGATGAAGTCCTGCAGGGAGTTGTGGAAATCTGTGGCCATCGCTAACGCCTCCTCAAGTTTTCCCTACGCAAAACAACCACACACGGAGCTTTAGTCATAGTTACACTGGAACAATGGGAATCAGCATCAGCATCTCTTTGTGACTAAACAGTGAGGAAGTCTCAATCCCAAGCCCTCTAAAGGTAAACGAAAGAGGATGTGAAGACGAAATGTTTCTCCTGCAACCACAAATACAGGATCATTATCCTCTGATTCAATATTACAGCCTGACTCACACAGTGCCATCTGGAAACAACAGGACAGCTTTCTCCAGTGAAAGCTCACCTCATAAGCCCTACAAACACTTTCACTATATTAAAAAGTGCACCGCTGTTGAAAAGTTTGGAATCACTTCAAAAGTTTTGAATCTCAGTTTTTCATCCACCTCTTAAATGCACAGTTTGAAAATGCCAGTGTGGAAAAGCCAGAAATTCCAAAAAAGCCTACATATCACAAAAGTTTTAAGCTTGAACGAAGTGGAAAACTTGGTTTATCGTTAAAGAAGGTGTTCAGAGGTCAATGGCAATGTAGGACAGTGACATCAGGCTTCATTCAATGGGCCACAGCCAGCTCTGCTCCACACAGCATCTCGGAACTCCACAGCTGCACACAGCTGACAGAGGATTGTCAAAACTGCACAACTGAGAGATAAAAAAGGTTTGAATCCTTCCATTGTATACAACCCATGTGTCAAACACAAGCCCCACGGGCCAGATCAGGCCCACCACACAATCCTATCCAGTCTGTAGAAGTATTTCTATTCATATTAGCCTGTTTCACAGTGTACTGCACTACAGTCCCCAGCATGCACTGCACTGTAAGTGCTCTCTGACTCTCCTACCCCAACAACATTCTATGGGGCAGTCATAGGCTGGAGGTTAGGGAACCAGCCCTGTGACCGGAAGGTCTCCGGTTCGATCCCCTGAGCCGACAGACTGAAGTGCGCTTGAGCAAAGCACCTAACCCCCAACTGCTCCCTGGGCACCGTGGATGGGGCTGCCCACCACTCCGGGCAAGTGTGCTCACTGCCCCCTAGTGTGTGTGTTCACTAGTGTGTATGTGGTGTTTCACTGCACGTTAATTGGGTTAAATGCGGAGGTGAAATTTCCCCATTGTGGGACTAATAAGGGTCACTCACTTAATATGGAGCAGCTGTTACACCTCAATTCTGCACAATTCCACACCAGTCATATCTCCAAAACACATTTGAGCTGCCCCTAATTTCAGCTCAGAAATTGAGCCCAAGTGTCAAGTTCGAGCAAATAGGTAGATTTAAAGACTGAGATCCTGGGGCCATTTAAATATTCAATATTTCAAGTGTCCATGTAATATTTCAAGGTCTACTACAAGTGTCTGTATTTTACTGTTGACGTTTTTGCATATTTTGAATAAACAGTGGCCAGTTCGGGTTACAGCACAACATTAATTAAAAATAATAATATATATTTTTTTCTGGCCCACAGATTTAATGAGATTTTTAATATGGCCTCACTATAAAGCACCTTACTGCCTCTCTGTGACATATCTGGAAAAAATATTGTTAATAGGAAATTAGAGTTTAACATTTACAGTTTAAAATAACTTAAATGTCTTGAAATATTGAATAAAACATCAAAAAATACCTACTGGTGTCTAGTTTATAAGATTATATCTACATTGTTTAAGTTTTATTGTATATAAAATAACACAAATAATTAATGCAGCAAATGATTCCAAACTTTTTAACTTTTTGTAATCAACCTCATATTATAACTCAAACCCAAAAAACTGAACGGAAAACCTGGAGTAAAATTTATGTAGCTAACACCGACATCAACTTTGTACCCAGAAGTCGAGCCTAAATCCTGAGGCGATACATCATGGAGCAGAAGGTTTGGGTAAAGAACATGTCTGAACCCGGCCACGCGTTATTTTCTCTTCTCTCCTCGGCTTGACGCACCACTCAGTAAACCGCAGGTGCATGTCTGACTTCGCAGAACAGCCCACTTTGTTTCATACAGACTCCCACGCCCCCTCTGACCACATCCTCACTGACATCACCACAGTTCACAGCTCTGGGATCAGACGTGGATCAGCATGACGAGACATTTCCGTTTGTGGGATCTGAAGCCACAGCATGCTGGGCCAGGCTGGCAGCTGGGACGCAGAAGCGGTTCCTCGCAGCACCCACCTTCCTCTCGGCCACCTTGGCCTGCATGCACTCCCACTTCTCCTGCAGGTTGCGGAGGTCCTGCTCGGTGGTGCTGTCCTGGCCCTCCGGCGTCAGGGCTATCAGCTGTTGACCTCTCTGAAGAAGCTGCTGGTACAGTTCCTCCTTCGCCTCCACTGCACTGCACAGCTCCTATATACACAGCCATGGCAGAGAGCACACACTGGGTTTATGGACAGTAGTAATAATAATAATAATAATAATAATAATAATAATTGTATTATAATTATTATTTAGATAATATAGAACTTTATACATTATATATATATATATATATATATATACATATATATATATGTATATATATATATAAAACTTTATATAGAACCTTTTATACATGACAATGAAGCTTAAAGAGCCAGTGAATGTAAATATAACAGCAATAAAGTGTAAATAAAACAGCCCTGTTGAAAAATACCCTTGCCCTATTATTATTATTATTATTATTATTGTTATTATTGTTGTTATTATAGCACTTTTCATATATAAAAAGAAGCTCTACGTACTTTACAGTATACGTAAATAAAACAGTAAAATAGAATAAATAAAATTATGTTATTATGCTTGCCCCATGCTTATTATTATTATTATTATTATTATTATTATTATTATTTTTATTATTTCTTTATATGGCATATTTTATAAACAAAAAATGAAGCTCAAGGTGTTTCACAGTTTATGTAAATTGTAATTAAAATAATTAAAAATATTACTTTAGTATTTACAGTGTCTACTGTTATGCATTTTCTATTATTATTATTATTAATATTATAGAACGTTTTATACATGACAATGAAGTTTAAAGTGTCAGTGAATGTAAATATAACAGTAATAAAGTGTAAATAAAACAGTCCTGTTGAAAAAATATTATTATTATTATTGTTATTGTTATTATTATTATAGATACATAAAAAATAAGCTGATGTAGTAAAATCGTTTACATGAGACAATCTCTGGAAAGCAGCATGAATGTAAAATAAAATGACAAACGTTTCTTCATCAGTGATGTACAGTGGTGAATATTATGCTCATCCTGAAAGATGTCAGACATTATTCTATTGTAAACAGTGTGATAATGTGATCCCACCGCTGGACTGATTCTTATGCTTATCATCATCTTTATAAATAAACACTGCAGCTGAAAGTTGTATTTTTCTACTCACCATAATTCTGATTTATTAGCTGGGGTTTAAATAATGAGGTAATGAAGTGAGCAGAAGCCTCAGAGTCTGGCTTTAAACAAAACAGTTCTACACCCCCACTGTCGGCTCAGCTGACCTAAGTGGTGCTAAATAGTGCCGCTGATTATTAATGCAGTTTTATTTTCTGTTTACTATTGTTCATAAAAACAACACTGTAAATAAAATTGAGTGTGCTTGAACCGATACAAGCTCGCCATCTGTAACAGCCTCTCGTAGTCTTAAATACATACCAGATGGGCGTTAAGCTGCTCGCGGGCCGTGTCTGGTAAGCCTCCAACCGCCTTTGATGCTAACAGCTGACGTTCTGTGTCTTTCAGCCATTGCTGCATATCTTCAATCTCACCATGGAAACCTTGGGCCTAGAACACAATGCAGCCAGCGTCATCACAATAGACTCCACAGACTCATTAGCGGAGCTTCAAGGGGTGAAAAGAAGTTTAAAAAATGGATGTTTCTCTTATTAATCCAGGGTGAATAAAAACGACATGTTTGCGAGGCTTCCCAGCGAGGACAATGGTGTCTGAGTCAGTAAATGGAGGCGGTAGACGCAGTTTGTATGAATAACTAAATATCACTGTTGTCGGAAGAAAATCTCGTATCTCCAAACTGGTAACTTTACAGGAGAAGGAAAAAACCTACTTTCCTTTAATGTAAGTCAATGGAACCAGACTTTTTTCCAAGTCATTTTTAGGCCGTTTCTTTTGGTCTATGGATTGTGAAATTTGCACACAGTGTAAAGGGCAACAGGCATTTTCAAATCATGTTAAAAACTGAAAAGGGACAAAAATGGAGATACAAGGTTTTGTTCCAACAGCAGCGACATATTTACATATGTGTACTTTTAAATTCAAATTTATAAAAAGCATTGAAATACGCAAAGTTTTGCAAAAAAAAAGACTTTTACAAACTAAATATGGAGTTATATTTAGACTAAGGGTCGGATTTTTACTAGTCATTCAAAAAAGCTGTCGACTAGTTAAAAAAAAAATAAATAAAATTATAAAGTATTTTAGTAGTAGTTAGTAGTGTGCTAATAGCGGCTGGTTCTAATGGCAGATGCTGCAGTTTGTAGAAGCGTTTTTTGTATTTCACAGTGTTGCACCGAAACAGTATCGGCACTGATACTGACACTTTATCGCAATATCAGTACTGGTATTGGTGATGTGCTATACTGATATCTACGACTGACACCACAAAGCAATTTCTGATGCACCAGTAGACATAACTTATCAACACGTCAGTGGTGTGGGACAACAAGCAGCTGTAAATATGCTCATGGGGTCTCGTAGACAGGTAGTGCTTGGACCCCGACGATCGCTGCTTGAGATGTAATTTGTAGACAACCTCTTATCTCTTCCTCTTGTTCTACATCCATTTCAGACAAAAACGAAGTGGTAGCTGATTGTGTTGGTTGTAAACAATGATAATTTACAGATATTAGCCTGTTTGCATTCACTGCTTGAAAGGTAAGGAAGAAAAAAAAACAGATTTATACAAAAATGAAACCGACTTTATCTGTTTTCGGTTTCGGTCCTCTTCTCTCCAACAAAGGTTTATCTATCTACACCATTAAGGCACCGAATTTCAGCAACATTAGCTAAGTTCATGTCATCCACTCCTCCTGAAACCTTTCAGCAGAGTGAAGATGTCAACTCACCATTAAGTTGATTTGGCAAGTTAACTTAAGCAAAAGTTAGATTGATAGATATCAGTGTATGCAAACGTCTGAATCCCCCTCAGTCAAATTACATGTTTTGTTGATTTAGTATGAGAAAATAAGTTACGAAAATAATACCACATCCTCTACAGGGAACAGACTTAAGGCATTTTTCTGCAAATTTTAGTGCACAATTTGCGTTTACTTGAAAAACAATAAAACATAAGATGTAAAATATTCCATAACTTTTGGAAGGCGACGTTTATGTTTTTGTTTTTTTTCCAATATATTAAATTCAGTAAATAAACAGTGTGTTCTCTGTAGAGGACGTTACTTTATTTTCACTTAGAAACTCATCAAAACATAATCGGACCGGGGGTGCACAAACTTTTGCACAAGACTATGTTTCATCACTCGTATCAAAGGCATGTGTGTGTATATGTGTGTATATGTGTGTATGCATGGATATCTGTGTGTAGCCTTTTCTGCTCCCCCCTCACATTCTGTGATTAAAGTCCTTCGTTGCTCTAGAGAGGATCATCAATCACAGCACCGTTTCTAACAAACCTCCACATTCCACCGAGCAGCCAGTGAGTCTGGTTATATGTCTGTGTCAGACCTGGAGCAAAGCGCTGTCCAGAAGCTGCCTCCTCTGCTCAGTCTTCTCCAGGATGCCCCTCCAGCGCTGGTTGAGGTTCTCCAGCTTGCTCTGCAGGCCACAGGCCTCCTCTCCTTCGCTGGACTCCATTAGATCGCTGCCCGCCTTGTTCACTGCCTCCACAGTGCTCTTATGGGCCAGGACATCGTTCTGCAGCACCTGGTGATAAAAGACATTATAAACTAATAAGAAATACAGACAATTCATTTCCCAGCGGGAGCTAAATTGTACAGAATTTATTTGAAAATAAAAGACACTGCTGATTTTGCAGCCAAGCAACAGACAACATCCTTGCAACTAATAAATTAAATGTTCTGGCGCCTTTGCAGTAGTGAGGTCATTATTTACGAGGTCAACAATATAAATATCCCCACTTTGACTTACATGGTGCTTGGCGAGTTCTATCTCGATGGCTTTGGGGTCCCCGCTGGTTTTCTTCTGTTCGCTAAGCAGGTCTTCAGTGTGAGTGAGCCAGGCCAGAAGCTCGTCTAGAGCATGCTGGAACTGCCCTAAGGCCAGCAAAGCACCTTCCAACTTGTGCTGAAAGACATCAAGAGAATAGACAAGCCACTCATGGTCAGTGAAGAACCTGGCATAGAACATGAGCGCAAGTTTTAACCCAGGGGTCTGTCACGCCTGAGATATCTGTCTGAACCCAATGGGATGTTCAGTATGTTATATGTAACAAGTAACTGAAGTTTTAGGATTATATCAGCACCGCACAGTGTGAGAACAGCGAAGTATATATGTGTGTGTGTATATATATATATATACATATATATATATATATATATACACACACACACACACACACACATACAGATACACATAACATCTCATGCTGGCTATTATCAAAAGTTTTAAGGAGAGATTTAGAGTCTGTTCAGGGATTTATGTCCCCATATTCATATGAATTTTATTTCCGTATGAATTTCATGGATGTGCATAAAGTGCTTTCAGCTTTTAGAGGAGGCGCTATGTAAACAAAATATATTATTGCTGTCAGAACAAAACCTTGTGTGGGTCGTGATTGGTCTCAAAATGTAACTGTGGGTTGGGATTGGTCTCAAAACTTGATGATGTGGGTCGGGATTGGTCTCAAAACTTAACTGTGTGGGTCGGGATTGGTCTCAAAACTTGATGATGTGGGTCGGGATTGGTCTCAAAACTTAACTGTGTGGGTCGGGATTGGTCTCAAAACTTAACTGTGTGGGTCGGGATTGGTCTCAAAACTTAACTGTGTGGGTCGGGATTGGTCTCAAAACTTAACTGTGTGGGTCGGGATTGGTCTCAAAACTTAACTGTGTGGGTCGGGATTGGTCTCAAAACTTAACTATGTGGGTCAGGTTCGGAGTCAACACTTAACAATGTGGGTTGGGTTCAGACTCCAAACTTAACGATGTGGATCGGGTTTAGACTCAAAACATGATGAATTTTGCTGTACTTGGCTCAGTTACAGACTGAAACTTTAATGATTTTGGGTTGGGTTTGGGCAGAATTTGGTCAGGCTCAGGTCGGGTTCAGACTCAAAACTTGACACGGATCAGGTCAGGTTCAGACAGAACTCTGTCGGGCTAGGCTGTGGATCAGACTCAAAGCGTGATGGTGTGTGTCGGGTCCGACTCAGAAAATCGTGGGCTGTATTTGGGTTCAGACCAAAATTTCAGGTTTATCATAACTAAAATAAGGTCAACCCGTCTGTGAGGAAGCCTATGCAGTAGATTCACAGAAGGTCTGTGTTCTGTAACGATTCCACATTCTACGTCTTACCTGTCTGTTGATGACTTTTTCGTCCAGGTTGTCCCAGAGCATTTTGAGCTCACTGACGGGCTCCTGGATGGCAATGCGGTCTGCTTCCTCCAGTACTTTCTTCAGTAGCAGCCCTGCTTGGTGGTTCAGCCTCTCCATCTCGATCTGAAGCTGGTACGCCTCGCCTTTGAACTCCTGCACAAACACAGCCATTAGGAAAGGGTCACGTGTTTGACAAGACAAAACACTCAGCTCTCCTACGTCATTAATAACTCCTTATAAAGCACATATATGTGCCCTTTGACTAACATCGTAGACAAAGTCAAGGTTTGTTTGTCTTTATCTCTCTCTGGAACTGGATTGACAATACAACGTTCACAACAATGCACCTTTGAACTAACTGTGGGAGAGTAAATGAAGTGGCTGTTCTCTGGATAAACACAGCTGTTATTTGGTCAGTAGGGCCACTCTGTTTATCAAACAAGCAGACAAGGCACAACTGGGCAGGATCACCGAAACGTGTCTTTATGCTTTGATCAACATAAACCAAACATGGCCAATAGTTTTCAGGTCAGTGTTGAAGGAAAAACCTCACAAACACTCAGAATCAGCGAAGTAGTACCTTCAGCTCCTCGATCTGCTGCTTCACAGTCTCCAGGTCTGTGCCGACGGGTGACATTGAATCCAGTTTGCCCTCCAAAATATCCACCCAGTCAAACATGCCCTGTAGAGGAGGAATGAAGCGCTACTGTGATTAACAGAGCACAGTGCTGCCTTTACCTTGACTCATGTTGCTCTTTTACCCCTGGGTTCAGCTGAGAGGACCAAGCGGCCAATAATGGAAAAGCTGGAGATCGAAATCACACCTAAACTTCTTAAAGTAGTCAGTTTGCAGGACAATATGCAGTTTTTTCAGCCTAATCAGTGCTTTGTCTTTTAAAATGCCTTTGATTAGAACTAAATAAAACCTATTTACATTTAAAGATGCTTCTCATCACTTGATCAATCTATTCCAATGACTGATCAAATGCTAAAAGTACCACAGTTCACTATCTCAGTACATCAATAATGACTTCAAGGCAGCTGATTATCATTTGAGCCAACTGTCCAGTACAGTCTAAAAGTCAGCCCCTCATTTATTTAACTTCCAGTCAGAATGGTCATATAATTTCTTCTTTTCCAGTATTCACTGTGTCCACTCTTCACCTTTATTCCAGCTTCCATTCCTTTCAGGAGACTCACTTTCAGTTCCTCAAAGAATCTGCAGACACACCTCCAAAGTTCAGTCTTAGAAGCTGGTTGATCATTTTCTGAAGTAATCAAACACATTCAGTGGTGTTGAGGTCTGGACTCTGGGGTGGTCAGTCCATCGTTCAGCTTCTTTGTTTGATGTGTCCGTCTCCTTTTCTCAGTGAGGTTCTTCTTGACAGCTACACATCCTTTCAGACCCACAGCGCTGAGTCGTCTTCTCACAGTGGAAGGATGGACAGAAACACCTGTGGATGTTTTCAGATCTGAAGCAGCTTGATTTTCTCCTCTCTCTCAGAGATGAAAGCTTTAAGTGCTGTTTATCTGATGGGGGCAGTTTTGGGGTCTAATAGCTCTTCCAGGTGGTTGTTAGGAGCCACATTTTCTCTGTAGCTTTTAATCAGTTTTTGAACTCCAGTTTTGGAAACTCCTGTTTTTACACTTTGATTTTCTCCTGTATTGGGCAAGTGCATTATCTTACATCTAATCTCAAAAATATCTACTGAAAAATGAATAACTTGTACTGTTTTGACTGGAAATGAAATAAATGAAGGTGCTTTCTGACTTTTGAACAATAGTGTATGTAAAAAAACTGTAGTGTAGTAACTAAGATCTGAAATAAGTGGATACACAGCGTGTACTCAAGGTGAATCAAGCATTCAGCAATTTTTCCACTGGATCACAAAGAAAGTAAATGAGTAATGCTGAGTAATTACACCACTCACCAAGTGAACCATCAAGTAACCACCAGTGACACAGATCTTACAATGAACTCTTAAGTGCACTAATTCCACTGATGTGATGATCTTAAGTGTACACAATGTACCTGAAGACCATCCTGGAACTGTACAGCAGCCTGCATGGCCTCCTCCAGTCGCTCCACTCGCTCCTTCCATGTCTTATTCAGGGTCTCCCATGCCATGTTCACCTAAGAAGCAGAGCAGATATTGCATGAGCTCAAAATGCTCAAACTGCCATTCAAACGATTGGAATCACTTGTTAATTCATACTTTGGGCTACTTGCTATACAATAATATCCTAATACATTAATAACAATGTAGAAGTAAAGCTTATCAGGGTGTGTTTAGACATTTTATTGAATATTTCAAGGATTATGGGCAATTATATACAGTGAATTCTATATTGTTTTGTCAAGTTATCTACTTTAGATTTCTCAAACATGAAAATGGTTATTTTATCAAAACTTTTGCATCAATCTTGATGCTACATAGCATTTTAAGCCATTTTTTAATCATCTACAGCTCCGTTCATCAATCTGGAAACATCCGAAATTTCTATTTACAGCCTTCTAGTAATTATTGTTGTTGGGGCAATGCATTACAGATGATAACAAAATTCAAATGTTAATATGCTGGAAAAGGTTCTCTATAAATCTCAAAAAGTTTTTTTAAAAAAAAACTTTCATTTATTCATCTCTGCTGAAACTGTTACCTCATCAAGGCTCTTCTTGATTACTGGTTTGTCGGGTTCTCCACAGGCGGTCATAAGCTCTGCTCCCAGATTCTGGACCACGTTCAGCTCCTCCTGAAGTCCATCAATCTCCTCTCTGTAGCCCTGTATCCAACAAAGCCCAGACAATCCACCATGAGAGCAACGCCTGACACAAACCATTTAAAACAGACCTCTGTTTAATGTTAAAAGGCAAAAACAGTCATAATTCACTTTTACACAACCATTTTCCATCCTCTCTTTATCAATGACAACGGGCCCCTTATTACAGTCATACTAAGCCATTTTATAATCACTTATTCCATCCTAAAGCTTATTATTCAGTTAGTACATGGACTGTAATTAAAAGTTATAAAAGTGAGTAATAGAAGTTTGGACCTGATGCGAAGTCCTGGGCATTTAAAGGGTTTAAAGCGACTGACCTCTACGGACTCCTGTTGCTGTTTGACAACAGAAGGGTCCACTCCAGGCTCCTCAAGCTCTTTTAGCAGGTCCTGTGTGTCCTTGATGGTGACGATAAGAGCACAGTGATCACACCAGAATTTCTCAGCCAAGTCCATCACATCCAGAAGTTTGGCCTCCCTCTCCTCCAGAAGAGCCTGGATGTCGTTCCACACAAATACCATCTGGTCCAGCTTGTCTTGAACAGCTTTTGAGAAAAGCAGAAGAAAAGAACTGAGAAAATGCGACATTTCCTTGCAATTGGAAACATAGTAAACCAACCATTTTGTCTGTTATGGATTATGGACCAGTTACAACAAGCAAAAAAAGAATAACCATGCTGGAATAGAGTTATTTTGCTACAAACTACTTTACATTACATTTATTGTACAAAATTATACATTTTTTGTTTTGATATGTGTTTGTAATCCTGGCTGGATTGTCAAAAAAATGAACGCCAGTTAATTAATCATATTTCTAACAATAAGAAGCTGTCATGGTGGTCTCTGTCTTTGCCACCGAAGATACCACTCCATCAGATTAAATGCACCGTCATTAGCCGGTCAGAAATGTAGAAAATCCTGGCTCAGGGAGTTGGAGAAGACAACCCTGACCAATCGGGTGCACATAGCAAATTAACATGGCCAATGTAAAGTAGCCTGCTAATACAGCTGAGGCACTAATTGTAAATCCATCTGAGAGAAAGTCATGTTGAAAAATAAAACATTAAACAGACATAATTCATGTTTGCATAGGACAATAGCCAGTTTTGGTGTGTAACCCCAATGGTTATATAACTGTATGCTGGTATTTTCACGTTACTACGGAGCCCTGCTGGTGACGACCCGCATACATAAAAATAATGCATGGCCACAAATTAATAAAGCATGGGAACAAGATAATTAAGTCATGGCCATGACTTAATAAGTTGTGGGAACGAGATCCTAATGCATGGCTACGACTTAGTAGGGTATGGGAACAAGATAATTAAATTGTAGCCACAACTTAGTATGAGATCTTAATGTGTGTCCACGGCTTAGTAAGGCATGGGAATGAGATAATTAATCTTTGACCACAGCATAATAAGGCATGATCATTTTCCCACACCTTACTAAATCATGGCCACGACTTAATTATCACGTTCCCATGCCTTACTAAGTCGTGGACACACATTAAGATCTCATACTAAGTTGTGGCTACAATTTAATTATCTTGTTCCCATACCCTACTAAGTTGTGGCCACATTAGGATCTCGTTCCCACACCTTACTAAGTCGTAGCCACGCATTAGGATCTCGTTCCCACACCTTCTTAAGTCATGGCCATGACTTAATTATCTCGTTCCCACACCTTAAGTCATGGCCATGACTTAATTATCTCGTTCCCATGCCGTACTAAGTTGTGGCCACACATTAGGATCTTGTTCCCACGCCTTACTAAGTCGTGGCCACGCATTTAGATCTTGTTCCCATGCATTAATACGATGTAGTCTTGCATTATTGTTGTTTTCATGTGATGTCACCAGCAGGGCTCCGTACGTTACCAGTCTGGGACAGTTTCCTAAAAAGCATCTTAGTGTTAAGATCATCTAGAGACAGTGGTCAGTGGTCAGTGTAACACTTGCTCTACCTTTTAAGGATCATCTTAGTGTTAAGATCATCTAGAGACAGTGGTCAGTGGTCAGTGTAACACTTGCTCTACCTTTTAAGGATCATCTTAGTGTTAAGATCATCTAGAGACTGTGGTCAGTGGTCAGTGTAACACTTGCTCTACCTTTTAAGGATCATCTTAGTGTTAAGATCATCTAGAGACAGTGGTCAGTGGTCAGTGTAACACTTGCTCTACCTTTTAAGGATCATCTTAGTGTTAAGATCATCTAGAGACAGTGGTCAGTGGTCAGTGTAACACTTGCTCTACCTTTTAAGGATCATCTTAGTGTTAAGATACTTTTGGAAAACACAGCCCAGGTAGGTTTATTACTGCTGTATGTATTCAGATTATTCTGGCTGTTATGATCTTTCAGCTCTGTGATCTGCTCTGTATACACTGCCATGTCATTTTGTTCGACTTCCTTTGTCTTATGTTTGGAGATTTGGCTGAATGCTGCGCTGACTGTGTTTGTGAACAGGCTGGTTATGATTGGGGTCAGCTGGTCCTGTACTGTTTATCTGCACTGTTATAGCCTGATGCTGTAATATTGCTGATGTAATAATATGTGTCATCCAGCTATTTTGTCATGTGTTTCGTTTGTTTGGCTTGCAACTCACACTCACTTACGTTTAGCAGGCTGAAGGCTCTCCACAAGGGGGAGCTATTATTGCTCAAGTAGCTTTTGTGTGCTTCATTAGAATGGAGGAATTTGCACAAATGACCACTATGGAAAGAGTTAAGGTTAACATACAAGGAGCATTCATTTCATCAGCTAGGCTGTGGATGACTACAGGCCAAAAAAGCAGTAGGGGAGCTTTAGAAGACTTCAGCATCAGAGCAGATGCTGGGCTGCTGTGTAAGAGTGCTGAATGACCGCACCGCCCTCCCAGCTGACAAAACCACAACAACCTGATTCGTATAAAGTGGCAGCGAACTTTGATATGAGAGTTCACCTTTAGCAGACAGGTCTTTGTCTGCTCCCTCTGAGCGAGTGATCATTTCTTCTCCTCGCTGCTTCAGAGTTTCATAAGAGGGCTGCAGCTTCTCCAGGTCCATGTTCACAGCTTTGTTCTCAGCAATCTGCTCGCGGATCTTCTCCACTTCCACAGAGATGGACGGGGGCTGACGCAGACGCTCCGCTATGCGCTCCAGAGACTCCAGCATGGGGTCAATCTTATCATGGAACTTCAGAAGATAAAAAAAAACCAACGTTCAGAGCAATTTTACAAACACAATATAAAATCAAACAGTTGAAAATGCAGATCTTGGCAACAGGACGGTTATTACACAGTTTATCCTTTTAAACAGATCCAGACAGGAACCATTCATAATCTTTCAGTACAGTCTTGCTGCACGTGACTTTGTCAGGAAGCTTCTTGGTGGAAATTCTGCATCACATTTCCTGCGGCTCATAGAGGTCATGATTGCTATATCCTTCTTTAACTTCAAAACAAGCTGAAAGTTGACCTCCATCAAAGGGTTTTGACAACCCTCATTAATGAGCTGTCATTGTTTGGGAGGACCATGCGAGAACTTCTTTTAGAGACTTTTATCTCAGTCAAGATAAGAGTAAAAGCACTTTGGCAGGACTTTCTGATGGGAACATACAGAACTTCAGGCAATCAAGGCACGATGCATGTCCACATACAAAAAAATAGTTTAACATTAAACCACTGATGCTTCTATAGTTCACTCCTGTCAACTGGCTGATTTAAATGGAGCGGTTTAAGTCAGATCACACATAAAAAAGCTCTTTTCAAGGCACAAAATAAACACACAAAAAGAAGTGTGGGAAACAGAAAGACTGCATTTGAAAATAAACAGCAGTGTCAAAGTTAATGCGGTATTTCATTAGTTTGACCCTTCCAGTCATCTGTAATTGCAGCCTGATGCCCAGTTACTCACACACTGTTGCTATGTCTTCTCTTTCAAATGCAGCCTTTAAAGGGAGGGCAAGTTCCACTGATGGTTCTCTTGATAAAACCAAAGTAATTTCCTTTACTGAAATGCTGTGAATTTTCATTTGTATTTATCATTTTGGTACATCAAGTCAGAAGTTTGTGTATCATTTACGAGCAAAAACACAGCAGTGATTCCGGTAATATTAGTAATTCTGCTGGATGGAGCTCATGGAAGAACAATGGATAAATGAATGAGCAACAAACTTGCATACAACTGTGCATGATATAAAATATAGTATATATAAATATCACAATACTCCAAGAGGTTTTACATACTGCGATGCAGTAAATCCAAGTAATTTGGACTAATTATGCTCTCTTTGTAAGTAAATGTAGAGAAGAGTTTTTAAGTACTGATGCTATTCACAATATGCTCTGAAAAGTAATATATCACATAAATGATATATGATATATATAGTCATGCAGCCCAGCCCTACTATAACCTCTCATTATGTAACCACTTTTCTCCATGGAACACATTTTCATGCTCAATTTCCTGAGATCGCTGCATTTACATGATGAAAGTAATGTTGTTGATTTATTAAAGTATTAACTACATTATAATGTCTATGATGGCTTTTTAGGGCCACTGTTAAAAAAATAAATAAAAATAATAGACTTTCACCAATATATTGTAATATTTCAAAAATAAAGTCTGATTTCTTACATACATACATACATACATATATCATCTAAACCGCTTATCCTTCTGGGTCACGGTGGGGTGCTGGAGCCTATCCCAGCTGTCATTGGGCGGAAGGCAGGATACACCCTGGACAGGTCGCCAGTCCATCGCAGGGCAGACAGACAGACAAACACATTCACACCTAGGGGCCATTTAGCGAGTCCAACTAGCTTAACTGCATGTCTTTGGACTGTGGGAGGAAACCGGAGTACCCGGAGGAAACCCACGCAGACCCGGGGAGAACAGGCAAACTCCACACTGAAAGGACCCTGGTCGCCCGGCCGGGAATCGAACCCAGGCCATTCTTGCTGTGAGGCAACAGCGCTACCCACTGTGCCACCTTGCTGCCCTGATTTTTTACAATAAAATCATAATATTTTGAGATAAAAGTCAAAATATTTTGAGAATAAAGTTGTAAAGTTACAAGAATAAACTTGCAACATTTTAGGATAAGGTAGGCCGACTGTTGGAGGGTTGCCATAATGTGCCGGAGTTCCACTCCGTCGGGATCGATCACTTTGATTATCGTTCTCATCGTCTCCTGTGAAACTACATGCCCTCTTCAAATGGCACAGAGATGCAAAACCACTGACAGCTGTGTAGACGCCACTGCGTGAGTTCTCCTTCAACAACAGAGACAATTTCCTCCGAGTCCGTCTGGTTCTTTATTCTAAATAAACAGTTTCTTGCTCAGCCGTTTCAGTGCTCTTATGCTAATAACAAGGTGGTGCTGATGTGCCAGGAGACAGGGAGACTGAGTATTTCTTCATGGGAGAAATCGATACTAACGTATAACTTTACCAACTCCTAAACGCCCCTCATTCTAACAGGAGGAGGTGCTGCCTTCCTTTTGGCACAATATTGCGACTTTTCGTGGTAATATCCCACTTTAATGTCATAATTCTATGACTTTATCCTCGAAATATTATACGTTTTTTCTCAAAATACTAAAATTTTATTCTAGAAAACACAACTTTAATCTCGAAGTCTATTATTATTATTATTTTTTTATATATAGCTATAAAAAAATTACTTCTTCAAAATAGAAAAAGATCTATCTTCAGGATCCAATTTGAGCAAATGCAATTAACCACAACTGACTATGTAAACGAATATGATCAGTCATTGCATTAATTTGACATAAAAATAAAATTGAGGCAAAGCAGCAGAAAGAAAGACCCAAGAATGCAGACAAACCTGGGTAGACTTGGAGATGGCCTCATCTAGGGCAGCAGCTCGGTGCTTGACATCTGCTTTTAGCTGGGCATACAGCTTGTCTGTGGCCTGGTACGTCTCCCTGATGGGCTCTCCCTCCACCGGACTTAACTCCACCAGCTGAGGGCCGGTTTTGTTCATCTTGTCTATGTGTGGCTTGTGCTCTGCAATCAGCTCCCTCAGTTGCTAAGAGCAGAAACATGCGCAAGGTTAGAACATAATGTAGAAGAATGATGTTAAACTAATTACACTAACAAAGCTACACTGCTTTAATTTTGGGTCTTTGTGAAGTTCTTACCCGCAGTTCCTCTTGTTGCTGTCTGAGAGTCTCATACTCAATGGCAGGCTGTGGAAGCTGGGTGAAGCTAGCCTGGGTCTCCTGCAGCCATGGCCACAGCTCTCTCGTAGGTCTCCCAGAACTGGCAGGCCAGAGAGTGGGCCCTCTCCAGCTGCAGGCAGCGCTCCGAGTTCAGCTGGCTCACCGCGTTGTATTTCTCCAGGAGAGACTGGACCTTCGCCTGTTCCCATACACAAAAGATGTGTAATGTCTGATAAGTATAATGTTACATTTGCGGTCAGTTTCCCAGACAGGGATGAAGCCTAGTCCTGGACAAGGGATGCGTACGGGTACTCGAGTACTCGGTGGCAGTAACAGAGTACTAAAATCACAATTCAGGTATTCGTTATGTTTTATTACAGGACAACAAAAAACAGACCAACAATTCAGTGAAATTCTGATTTCAGTACAGGTGTTGATGGAGTACGGTGAGTCTCACTGTCTTCGTCATATTCTTCATAACTTTCATATTTCATAAGCTACATTCTAAAGGTGGGGGTCGTATGAGAGCTGTAACTGTCTTCTTTTCAGTCAAATAGATGGTGATTTTAAACAATTTTAAACACTTATAATAAAAGAAGCTGAACTCACTATTTTTTTCTACTGAAAGTCGACCCATTTTTCCACAAATCTGGGCTATAAAGTATAAACAGATGGCGTCTCTTCAGTGATCTGCTCTGTAAACATTATTTTTATAAAATAATACAAAGAGCGTCTAAGATTTTTGGCTTTCAGCAGTAAATTGTAAGCATGTAGCAATATGTGTGATCATAAAACACATGTTCTGTTAATTTGAGGGGAGCTTTTACAAAAAAATACATCAATAAAATAAAAATTTACATTCATTTCATGCAGTTACTGAATAATTTGCCTTAGAAGAATCCCCATTCCGAATGCTCTCTGTCCAGGAAACCAACCCACAGGGTTTAGTCATAAGTTTGGATTTGTATCTGTTTACAGTGAGAGGTTGTTCTCTCCCCACCTTCAGAGCCTGTTTCTCTGCCTCGTCTTTGCTGCTCGAGATCGCCTCGCCTGTCTTCACGATATCATCCACAGCGTCTTTATGCCTCATAATGTCCATGGAGAAGCCCTGGAAAAGACAGAGAGCTGCAGATGACGGCATGGGCCACACACAGATGTTTGTTTTTTCTGTTGTTGTTTCTGTTAGTTGTGGTGTGAACCAGTAATGACCAGAGTCTGGTAAGACTGACCTTTTGAGCCTGCAGCTGAGCTGTGGTCTGCTCCGGCTCCAGCTTGATGTCCCCTAGAGATGACAGCTTCCTCTCTGCCTCAGTCAGCCAGGCTAACTCGGTGTCTGCTGCCTGCTCAAACTGAACACCAGAAAGCAGACATGTTGGCCACTACCATGGAAAACCTACACAGTAAACGATACCTGCAGGACTGGTACAGTTTACAGCTTTGCAAGTATTTTTAGCAACTACAGCAATGCCAGCGGAAGATAAATTAAAAAAGAGTTCTGTATTTTCATTTTCTGATTACTGTCCAAATGCACAGAGCAGAAGATGCCCTAGGCCTTCAGTTTGGGACATAGCTGTGGTAAAAGTAAAATCACCCATAAAATAATGCTAATTTCTGCTAGAACCCCTATGGGACTCCAATGGTATGTTAGTCTAAGCCAGAGATCGTCAACCTAAATGTTAAGAAGAGCCATTTTGTCCTTTCAACAAAAATCAAACCAGCTTGGGAGCCACAACATATGTCCATTTTACCATCTTGGCTATAAATATGTCTCAGTATGTGCTACTAGCATGAAATTATTGATGTTTGTCTTAAATCTTTCTCTTTGCCTTTTTGTTAGCTATTAGCTAGACGAGACTTGTCTGCGTTGCTATGGTGACCAGAAGTCTGTGCACCAACCTTCAGGGTTAAAGGGTGAATTAGCAGTTCTACATTAACTCCAGTGTTTAAGACCATTTATTGTTAAACTGTGTTGAACGATCAGCAGAGCTTTATTTTACTGTAAAGGAGGATTATTTTATTTTTACCTACAAATCTGATTCTGCTGTGGAGCTGCAAAAGGGCAGTAAAAGAGCTGCATGTTGCCGACCCCTGAACTAAGCTAACATCTATTTGCATGTACATCTTTTGGCCATTAACATTTATTTGACCTTGTAGCAGTTTTATAGTGACTCAGTAAAAAGCCCTGGCATAGAGCTGAAACCTGCTTAGACTATGGCTCGTATTTACAGTCACTGAAGCATCTATAACCTAAAGAAAGGCTTCAAGAACGTGATTGGTTGATTCCTCTAATTATGTTGGTAGTTAATCTAGCGCTTAAGGCCTTCTGTTCAGCTCCTGAAGCACTAATTACTGAGAGAGCTCATTTGGCTGTATCTTAATAGATAACACAGAGAAACCAAAGCTGATGGCTTTTCTGTTGGGCATTTCAGGAATTTATTTCATTTGTTTTCAACCAAAACTTTACAGTGGAATCCAAGTATAACTACAAAACTTGCAGAGTTTAAATACAACAAGCACGATGAATTCCTTCAAAGTTTTCTGTGAAGTTCTGTAAAATACTTGGCATATTACCTGCTGTGATTTTAAGATAGCTGCTCCTGTCTGATCCACACGCTGAGCAATGGCATCGCTAGCAGACCTGTAGCGCTCGTTGTCCTCCGTGACCAGTTTGTCCAGACCCTCTCGGGCGCGCCACGGCACCAGCTCCAGCAGAGCACTGCTCACTTCATTCAGCGTGTCCACCACTGGCTTACGCTCCTGAACCTCCTTCATTAGGGCCTGGAAATTCAGCGAGGAGCCTAAGAGTGACTCTCATGTATGCAGACTCACTGAGACAAGCAGCACTACTGCGTTCATAATTATGAAATAAAACACAATGGGGGTGGGCAATATGATATTTTATCATTATTCTGATATATTATGGCACAGTATGCATTTCCCAGCATATTGTGGATACTGTCTGACCAACTGTGCACTTCATTACAAACAGAGTCTAATTAGCTCTGTTGAACTGGAATGAAACACATGAGATGCAGTGAATGCTCTATAATGGCAGAGCACTTGGAGTTACGGCAACATTTTGTTTGGAGTGGTTCTTTGTAGATGAGTAATAAACTCTTAACAGATTATCAGTAACACATCAACAACATATCAGTGAAGTAGCTGTAGTGAAGCATCTGAATACACTGAAGTAAATATCTTGCAGATGTTCTGTTGATACATTACTTACATTAAGTAGATGTGTTGTTAATATGTAACTTCCATTACGCAAAACCTAACCTTACCAACCTTACACAACACCTAACCCTAACCCTGGGCTTAATCCTAACCCTGACCTTAACCTCAACCCAAAACCTAATCCTAACCCTCATCCTGGGCCTAATCCTAACCCTAACCTTAACCTCAACCCAAAACCTAATCCTAACCCTCACCCTGGGCCTAATCCTAACCCTAACCCTAACCCTCACCCTGGTCCTAATCCTTACCTTAACCTCAACCCAAAACCTAACCCTAACCCTCACCCTGGTCCTAACCCTTACCTTAACCTCAACCCAAAACCTAACCCTAACCCTCACCCTGGTCCTAATCCTTACCTTAACCTCAACCCAAAACCTAATCCTAACCCTCACCCTGGCCCTAATCCTAACCCTAACCTTAACCTCAACCCAAAACCTAATCCTAACCCTCACCCTGGGCCTAATCCTAACCTTAACCTCAACCCAAAACCTAATCCTAACCCTCACCCTGGTCCTAATCCTTACCTTAACCTTAACCTCAACCCAAAACCTAATCCTAACCCTCACCCTGGGCCTAATCCTAACCTTAACCTCAACCCAAAACCTAATCCTAACCCTCACCCTGGTCCTAATCCTTACCTTAACCTCAACCCAAAACCTAATCCTAACCCTCACCCTGGCCCTAATCCTAACCCTAACCTTAACCTCAACCCAAAACCTAATCCTAACCCTCACCCTGGGCCTAATCCTAACCTTAACCTCAACCCAAAACCTAATCCTAACCCTCATCCTGGGCCTAATCCTAACCTTAACCTCAACCCAAAACCTAATCCTAACCCTCACCCTGGGCCTAATCCTAACCTTAACCTCAACCCAAAACCTAATCCTAACCCTGGCCCTAATCTGACTCCTAACTTTAACCTCAACCCAAAACCTAATCCTAACCCTGGCCCTAATCCTAACCTTAACCTCAACCCAAAACCTACTCCTAACCCTCACCCTGGCCCTAATCCTACTCCTAACTTTAACCTCAACCCAAAACCTAATCCTAACCCTGGCCCTAATCCTAACCTTAACCTCAACCCAAAACTTAATCCTAACCCTCATATGTTTTTATCATGTTACTGAGAGGCTGTTGAGTGTTTGTTTCATTTAAAAAGGACTCTCAAAATAAAGCGTCAGTTATTTCTCTGAGTAGATAGTGGATGCGGCAGTTTGTTTAATACTAATGCAACAGCTTTCAAATTTAATTAAATTAAAATTTTACTGGTTTTTAATGTAGAAACCCTTCGTTTAAAAGCATCTGTACTGGTATAAAGATATAAGCCTTTGTATTACTTGGCACTGGACTAAAGATTAGTAATATCACCCAGCATCTGTCAAACACAGCTCTTGTTGATTACAGTGACAGCGTTTTGGTTTTGTCACTGTTGCTCATTTGCATTGTCTGCTGTCATTATAGTGCTTTTCAGATCTCCTGTTACTTGTAATAAAGCTGTGACTGTTAATCAGATGCTGCTGCTACATTACAGGCGATTAGGTAGAGTGATACTTAGATAAATTAGCTTGGAAAGCCATTATTGGGAGATAGTGGCACTCACACAGTGTCTCTCAACCAATCACAGTGCGTGGTCAGAACTAACTGTGGTATAATCAATAAATACATGCTAAAAAGGGTTTTTTAGTAAAGAAAATGGTTCTATATAGAACCATGAACACTCAAAGAACCCTTTGCATGAGTAAAGGGATTCTTTGCATTGTGACAGGGTTCAGATAGATGAAGAGTGCGTTTCATATGGTTCCATACAGAACCTTTTTGAAAAGGGTTCTGTATAGCACCAAACAGGTTTTGTCTATTGTGACAAACTTGACATTGTGACAATAGAAGAACCCTTTTCAAAAAGGTTCTATATAGAACCATCTACAGCACATTCTACATCAATCTGAAGAACCATTTAACAATGCAAAGAACACTTTAATCATGCAAAGGGTTCTCTGAGTGTTCATGGTTCTATACAGAACCACTTTCTTTGCTAAAGAACCCTTGAAGAATCATCATTTTTGAGAGTGTAGTTGCTACCAGTTAGTGAAACGTGAAACGCCAATGTTTTGATCAGTAAAATGACTCACCTTTTGCTTCTCTTGCACTTGAGTGAGCTGCTCTCCCACTGGCTCCTGAGCTCTGAACGTGGCCAGTTCAGATTCCACTTTCTCCAGCCAGGAGCTCAGTTCCTCGTGCGTGTGCTGCGTCTTGGTTGCCAAAGACAGGGCCTTGTTCAGCGTCGTTAACACGTTGCTGCTCATTGTGCTTATCTCAGCGTATCTTGTCTTTATTCCATCCAGTTTGCCCTGAATGACCACAACTTCATCACCTGGACCAAAGGCAGAGTGTCAAAACAGTCACGTCAGCTGCTTCACATCCTTGAAACTTTCATCCTGTATTAGGTTTTCACTACTAGGGCAAGTAAGACCACAAATACAAAGTTACTACAGTACACCGATCAGGCATAACATCATGACCACCTCGTTTCTACGCTCATTGTCCATTTTATCAGCTCCACTTACTATATAGGTGCACTTTGTAGTTCTACAGTTACAGACTGTAGTCCATCTGTTTCTCTGATACTTTGTTAGCCCCCTTTTACCCTGTTCTTCAGTGCTCAGGACCCCCATGGACCCTCACAGAGCAGGTACTATTTGGGTGGTGGATCATTCTCAGCACTGCAGTAACACTGACGTGGTGGTGGTGTGTTAGTGTGTGTTGTGCTGGTATGAATGGATCAGACACAGCAGTCTGACCAATCACAGATTGGAGTGTCCTTTGGGTGTTTGAATGAATCAGGATATTCACATAATCCAACAAACATAATTTTGGTCAACATGAATGGCGGTTTATAACACGGGTTTGCTGATGTGTTTTTTAGTGTTTTGTTCCAAAATGCATTAAATGCAAGAATATAAGAAACGTAACACTTCACAAAATTTACACATTGTATTTCACTGATTCACACTGATTGTGTTTCAGCACTCTTAAAGGGGGATTCCATCCATTTTTCAAAATATCTGAATAATTAAATGGTGAAGATGTAAGTCGTTCAAGTATGTTTCGATGTCAGTTTGATGTGAGATGAAATCTTTCACAGTGGTGGTGATAGGAACCAGACGTCTGAAAACTTTAACGCCTCTTAAAGCTTCGTCACAGAAAGCTACTACAAAAATTGGGTATGAATACATTGCCTGATTCACTGTTGCACAGTAGATCTGAGATTATATTTTGATCAAAAATGTATTCTTAAAATCCATTTATGATGGAGGAAGCATGCCGGGTGTTATGAGACAGAATAATCCTCAAAGAAAGCTTTTTTCTTTTGATTTTCCACTATTCTACCACTAACATAACATGTATAGGTTGTGTAGGTTCACTGGTGGTTTCGGATAGTAAATAAAATGGCTATATTAGTGTTGTGGTCATTGTGACTCTTGGTTCCTATCACGTTACTGTTACACCTCAATTACATGAAAAAATGCAGAAATCAGAGGAGTTTCATTTTAAGATTTTTTCAATATTTTAATATTTTTAAGATTTCTCATCAATCAATATTCTAAAAAATAATAATAAATCTCACCTGTGGTCTGTTTGAGCAGCTCTAGTCCATTCTGCATGGCCTGGTCAACATTCTGTCTCCTTAACTCAATATCCTCATGAAGCGCCTAGCCATAAAAAACATCTCAGTTAGTTACAATTAAAAACTGCTGCAAACTAACCCACTAAACACAGGGGCTGTAAATGATGATGCTGATGAAAAACATAATTAAATTAAAATGAAAAACTGAAGAGAAAAGCCTGAAGAGGAGGAGCTCTGTTCTACCAGTTGCTCAGCATGTTGTTTGTCCAGCACGTCCGGCGCGTAGTCCTGCACGGAGACGTCACTGAGCCTGCAGTGGACTTCGTCGAGCCAGTTCATGAGAGCCACCTCATCCTCCCCAAAGAGCTGGGCGTTGGCCAGCGCCTGCTGCAGCAGGTCTGCTTTCCTGCGGCAGCGCTCCTGGAGCTCGATGTAGTTGCTCTGAGTGCTGTCCAGCTTCGCCTGGACCAGCTCCTTATCGTCCATGCAGCTGACCGTCCGCAGCGACTGTCCCAGACTCATGGCCTGGTACAAGCTTTTACTGCGGCCTATAATCTCCTCCTCTAAGGCCTGATTACCAGGAACGGCACACAAAGCGGAGGGGTGGGGAGATGATTGTACCAACATAAAAGAACGGAACAATAACAAATGAAGAGCGTGAAGGGTATAAAGAACAAATGTGACCAGAACACAAAGGTACGGCAAAAGAATCAAAGCGGATGGGTCCAAAGGAAAGACGAGTCGCTCTGTGTCTAACAGCACTGCGTGTATTTACCTTATGCTGCCTGATCTGCTCTTCTAGCTTGGAGGTCTGGGTGCCAATAGGCTCAGAGCTGGCCAGGCATTTTTCTGTAGCAGTGAGCCACTCGACCAATGGCTCTAGGGTCTCGTGGAACTGCTGGGCCACCACCAAAATGCTCTCCAGCTGCTTGCGCCTGCCAGGAAAGAAGTACAACAGCCCAATGCGTAATCTGTGATTAACACTGGGCCTGGCAAACTGACATATACTCAAACAACATGGTCTCCATCCAGGAAAATACACATCTTGAGATATGCAAAACATTGAATATTTGGATAATTATGTCATCCAGATAAACTTACGTTCATTTGTTTTAGAAATAATTATATTAATGTTTATTATTATTACATTCGGATACTATGAAATTAGAAGGAAATTGCCAAATAGGCAAAAAATCTCAAGAGTTTCCAAATTTCAAAAAAAATCAAAATAGCTTGTTGATAAATGTTCCCATCAGTTTTTCTTTAAAAAAAAATGGATACTTCAGCTGTTCATTTCCTGAGACCGGCATATAAAATCTTTATTAGGTAGAAGCACATCAGGTTTACCTGTTCTCTGCTTTCTTGAGTAGAGTGTCCCACCTCTGCCCCAGGCATTCAATCTCCCTTCCAATCTTCTCTTTATCCACAGAGTCGGCCAGCTCCGTCACCTTCCCCCCCTCCTTTTTAATAAGCTCCACTGTGGGTCTGCGGTCATCCAGCAGCCTCTGTAAGAGCTGGCCACAGCGACAGAGAGAAAAATAAACTTACATGGAGTAAGGAAACACGATACGCACGCCATGATTATGACCAACTGCAAATGTCACAAAGCTTCTAAAATGTCCTAATCTCTCACTGCACTCTCAGAAATAAAGGTTACGAAACTATTTCTGGGGCAGTTCCTCTCTTGACACTGGGGTGGTACCCTCAAGGGTCCATCTCAGTACCTTTAGTCAGGGAACATAACTGAACCATAATCCACTGAAATGATATGTTCTAAGCTGTACTGACTCCACACACCCCGTCTCGTCTCCAGGCTTTTATTTTACTGTTCTGTTTTAAAACATTCGGTTATGAAAAGGTACAAATACGAACTTTTCACCTGGAAAAACTTATTTAAGGTTCACAATCAGACCTTAAAACCACTGTTGGACCTTTGAGGGAACATTTACACTGTTTGTACCTTGACGAATGAAAAATGTACCAGCACAGAACCTTTATTTCTAACAGTGCAGGGCAAAAAACAAATTTGCCAAGGCTAACAAGGCAAGATTAATCTCTTTTTGTAAGCCCCCTAGTTGCCATTCTGCTGGCAGAACATATTTTTGACTAATATTGTCAAATTAACCATCTTTTCTCCTTAACTCTGCTATCAGATGAACTACGACACTGTTGTGTGTGTGAAATGTTGTGACTTTGCGTTGAGCTGCTAGCGAGCAATGAGGGGTAAAAGGGGAGGCGTGAGAACCCCCCGCTATGAAAAACTATTCATGCCTATCCACAGAGATAAAACAGACAACTGCAGTGTTCTTCATTTTAAACAATCCTGTACAACTGGCACAAATTTGTAGTGCAAAAAATAGAAGCATCTCCAAAACAGACAGAAACTGCCTTTTATGGCTACAGTGAATACGAATTATGTTGAACCATTAACAGGCAGAATGGAAACATGTTTAGCTTGTTTTAGTGGGAGTAGTCCTGCAGTGCTGTTGACGACTAAGCAGTAATAATCTGACTGTTGCAGTGGTTCCTGATTTGGCTTTTAGTGGAGGCAAACCGCTGAAGTCTTACTCTCTGTTCTTGTATCTGCGCTTTGACGACTTTGAACTCTGCTGATGGTGGTTTCTGACTGGCCACCAGCTCTTCCGTATCTGTAAGCCAGCTCAGCAGAGACTCGAGAGCATCCTGGAACCTGCCACAATGCAGCAGAGCTTCATGGAGCTGTGCCGACCGTTCTGCCACCTGAAAACATCACAGACACAAAACGCATGTAGCTATTCCTGATAAGAGAAGCATCAGATAGTACAGGAGGAAAAATCCACCACAAGTGATAAATAATCACAACATTCATATCACAGATCACTGTTTGTGGCTCATACCAAAGCTAATTTAGTGAAATCAACAATGAATGTAATAGCATTTCACCTTTTTGTTGAGGGTATTCAATCTGGTGTTGACCTCCTCCAGGTCATGTTCAAGGCTCTTTGTGCTGGTGCCTTTAGGGGCATTCTGAATAAGTCCTTGGCCCAACCAGTTCAGCTCTTGCAACTGCGTTTGTAGCGACTCAATGGCCTCTTTCTGGAAAACCTGCAGTCAGTGGAAAACGTAGTAAGACATGTTAAGGCTGGAGTGGAAACGCTGATGTAAATCTCATTAGAAAGTGTGGCTGATACCGTAATGTATTACGGTTTTGCTGATTAGTGTTTGATTAAAACCATTCAGAAGGTTTGTCTGATCACATTGTACGCTATCATTTTCAAACCTTCAGCTCTTGGAAAATGGGCTGGTTTTGTCCTCCTGATGAAGAGCTAGGAGATTTGGTCAGTATTTGACTACAACACAGTTCAGCTGAACCTGAAAATATGAGCTTTTGTCCAACTTATCACAAACACTCACAGCTACATACCAACATCAAGCTCCAAACTGAGGAACTAACAGCTTTGGCTTTGCGGTCTGAGAGTGGAACAGTGACTTGCATAACTTCACATGTGTCTCTTAAAACTGTATCGCTTAATGCTACATGAAATCATACACAAAGACCACAAAATTAGTCTTATTCCCAGTTACACCCATCAGTTCTGTTCCCGGCATATACTGGGATTTTTTTAACAAAACCTTATATCTTCATTTTTGCAGATTTTTATTTTTTTACACATTTTGAAAAGAACAAAGTGCTGTTTTACACTGTGCCAACATTTCATGATGAACAGACCAACAGAAATGGTCCAAAAATGGAAAGGTAATAACATTTTCACCTTATTTTTTTATGACATGACGTTTTGTTCTGACAGCGATGATATGCTCCGGAAATGTGAGCCTATTACAGATTATGGAAATGTATTAACAGCACTCTAGTGAAAGTGTTAGATGTGAATTATGTCCCGATTCCTGCTCTTTGTGTACTGAATGATCGTGAAATTTGACCTTAAACCAACTTGGAATGCTACTCTTTGGGTTTACTGTGGCAAAACAGTTGCTTATTCAGTTCTGGTTTAATCCAAATTATAACATACAGAGATTTTGGATTCTTATACTTAAATAAATTATGACTCTGCAAGGCTAAACAAGGCTCAAATCTAATAAAAGCTTGGGCTGAAATGGCATCTGCTATTGGAGATTCCATATAAACTCGCTGTACTACCACCACTGTAGTAGGGAAGGCTCCAACATGCATGTATCTACATCTGTGCAGCATGTATGTGTTTATGCATTTTTTTATGGCTATCTTTGCCCCCACAACACTTTTTGTCAGCTGTTAGGAGGAAACTAAACCAGGAGAAACTCTTCATCACAGACCACAAAAAAGAAACTCCTGTCAAATAAAGAATCATTTAGAATTCCTGCCACTTTCTGTCTCTGAATAACTGAGCCCTGTTTACTTTTACTCCTTTTTATGATAACTGTTCATGTATTTTAGTCATTTTATGGCAAGACTTTCCACCGAACTGGGCAAAGAAATACTGTCTACAGCTAGTCAGCAGTTTAGAAAGTGGCTGCAGCTATGAGTTAACACACAGCTGGGCAGGATCACAGAAGCTGAGTCACTGACCGACAAATGCAACAAACTCAATTCAGGCAGCCCTTAATCAGATATAGAGGGCAGTACAATCCAACTTCCCAGGAAATGCTAATCATATATGCAACATTCACTCAAAGAGATAAGGCCTGGTGACAATGAAGGATATTTTGGGATACCTGTGAGGATGGCAAGCCCAAGAGATCAATCTGGGAACATGCAGCTAAGGATGATAACAAGCTCTCTATCTCCTCATCTCCCATGTACGTAATTGTCCGCTTTATTCCATTGGCGAGACCAGTTTCCCTTTCCACAGCCAACAAAAACTCCTCCAAATCAGCCATTTTGAACTCGGTGGCTCTCTGTTCCTTTTCGTAAGACTCTGCGTCTTTAGTGACGTGCTGTTCCAGAGGCTGTGACTCCAGAGGCTGCGACTCCAGAGGCTGCGTCACGACCACGCTTAAAAGCTCAAAGTCGTCCTGAGATGAAGCGTCCTCCAGAAGTTCAGCTGTGGGTAACTCCTCGTACCCTGAGATCATCCTCGGCCGGCCATCATGGGTCACGTTTTGCGCCCTGCTCATCGACCCTGCTGCGATCCTGCTTCGTACATCGGCATCAGAAACGACGCGTTCAGCATCGCTGAAGTCTACGGCACAAGCATCTTTAAACCGCGTGCCTTCTTGCACCGCAGCGTCCATGTAGTACTTTGCCGTTGGTGCCATTGCAGAATCTCTGACTGGGGAGAAGGGAAACTCCTCTTGCTCAGAACTGAGGGAACGCCCTGGTTTCAGCTCCCCGGACACATGCACAGCTTCAGAGGAGGACAGGCTCCTGGTGCCTGGCCCCCCTCTCCTCTGAGATTGTTGCTTCCGGCGTTCTCGCTCTGCAGTGGGGCTACAAAGGCCAGAGTCGTCCTCTGAGGTCAAGGAATTGGTCACGCTCCTCCCTCGACCCACCCGGCCAACCAAGGCTTGCCGGTCTCCAGCGTCGGTGCACAGGGTTCCACTGCAGCTGCCGTACTCACTAAGGTTGGCCGGCGCAAAGCTTCTCCAGGAGCGCCGATGTTGCAGGGGCTCCTTTTTGTCCCCCTGGTTCCGAGATTTGCCCAGGATGGTACCCGTTCCCCGGATAACGTCTCCGTTAAACTTTAACCCGTCGAAAACCACCCGCTCGTCCAGTCTGCCACGCAGCTCAAAGGCGCTGGACGAAGCCAGAACCCCGTTCCCACAGAGCGCGCTCATGTCCAGGGTGCGGTGGGTATAAGGCAAAGTGCCGACAAAATGCCTGGAAGCCAGGCTGCCCTTCGAACCCGAGTCGATCTGCTCATTAAGCCTCACAGTGTC